CTTCGAGACAAGAGGCTTCAAGCTGGTCGCTGCCAAATTCGTCCAGGTGAGAAACAAAATGACGATCAGGAGGGAAACTAAGTACAGCCCTGATCAGCAGCAGCGGGTTTGTCTCTGCAGCAGCTGGTGCTCAAAGTAGGGGGAGGGGGCCAGCTGTGATCCGCTGGCTGATTTCACGCAGCCCTTCCAACTAAAATACAAATTAAATAAATTCAAACAAAACTGTAACTTTTAAGTTAAAATCTACTGACAAAAATGTTAAATGATAAATAAAGTGATCATCTTTTCCAAGCTTTCTGTAGTCATGGTAACTCGGGACACATTTACTCATTGACTTATTCTAAACCTTTCAATCAATATTGAAGAATTATTGATTTGAAACAAGCTCATATCTTGCTGAAAAGTTACTTTTGTCTCGTTTTGCAGTAGAAATGAGATCAAAAGTACTTTTGCAGTGCAGATTGATGAGCAGCTCAAGTTTCTTTGATTTTCACCTGTTTGCTCCAGAACAGTAAAAATGATGCTGATTGGTCAGTTAATGTCTCGAATCGCGTGTGATCAGCAGGGTGCGCTGACGTTTTGCTGCGTTTCATGCATCCCTCTCCCCGCTCTGTGCGCAGGCCTCTGAGGACCACATGAAGAAGCACTACCTGGACCTGAAGGACATGCCTTTCTACGCAGGACTCTGCAAATACATGTCCTCCGGACCAGTCTTCGCCATGGTAACGCCAACACAAACATGGCCGCGCATAACTTCCTTCTTTGATTTTCCGCTGCGTCAGCGACCTCTTGACACCTGCTGGTGCTGAAGGCCTCAGCTGCTTCAATCCAACAGAGGACAGCCACAAAACATGCTTGGTGGATGTTCTTATCTTTTATTCCAGACTCGTTACATTTTTGCTTTTTAATGGTTAAAAGAAGAATTTTTTAACTCTGTGTCTCCGTAGACACAGAGCGAGTACAGAGTGAAACTTGCTGCTCTTGCTTTAATATTTAATGAATTGTGTCGTTCATCATTTCAAGAGTTTTGACGTTTTGTTGTCATGACTCATTTCAGGGCTCTGAGTTTATTAGCACGGCGCCCTCTTGTGACCAGTTTATTTTACATGCTTTCTTTTAATTTATAAAAATGTTTGAGTAACTTCATAAAAACGTGTTAGAGCCACGTTAGGTTTGAAGTTCATTTTTGAAGATTTCAGGGGATTCTCCTGAAATCTCAACCTGATTCAGACGTTTGTATCTGGATTTGTGTTTCAGGTTTGGGAGGGTCAGAACATTGTGAAGCTGGCCAGGATGATGCTGGGCGAGACCAACCCCGCTGACTCCAAGCCCGGCAGCATCCGTGGAGACCTGTGCATCAACATCGGCAGGTGAGGAAAACATTGCAGCGCTGCAAAACCTGCACAACGCTCCAGAAAATGACTGCAAAGATTCAACATAATCAAAAACTTAACCACAAGTGGGATTACTGAGGTCTGAGAAGAGGTTTGTTCTCAAGGAATATCCAGAAAAATGTAAAATTTAATGGGAACAAAAAGAAAAATAAATATTAAAACACATTTTTACATTAGAATCAATTGAAAAACATATTTTTGCCCATTAAAAACATTTGTTACATGAATAAAAATTCAGAAAATTAGAAAATTTCTGCATTTCAAAATAAAAAAATATATGTCATATGTTCCTGAAATACAAAAAAAGCTCTAAATATAAAACAAAAGCATCTTGTTAATGTGATATAGGTGAGATAGGCAGTAAAATTAGAAGTTCTTAAAATCAATACGTTTTAAAATTTATTATTTAATCAATGATAATAAAAATATTTCATTAGCAAAAATAATTAGAAATGACCACTAATTATTTTTAGTTGTAAAAATACTAAATGATAATGCAACACAAAATCTATAAAATGAAATGGGGAAAATAACTCCTTCTTTTGTAGAAGAAACTAAAATTTCCAGACAGAATCGACCAGATAATAAAACCGTAAGTCACTGATCTGGACCCGACTGTGTCCTCAGGAACATCATCCACGGCAGCGACACCCTGGATAACGCCAAGATGGAGGTCGACCTCTGGTTCAAGGCAGAGGAGTTCGTCAACTGGACCCCCTGCGCTCAGGCCTTCCTGTACGAGTAAACCCCGCCCCTCTGGAGCTCCGCCCACCCATCCACTAACCCTGCCCACTCTACAGTCAATCCTCTACCTTGGTTTTTACCTGTCCCACCAAACATGCAGCACTGATCAATAAAGTCTCATGTTGACCACAAAGTGTCTGAGTGTCGATGTTCAATCGTATCGGAAATGATGGAGATAAACAGTAAAAAACTGTCAGAAACAAAAATAATAAGACAGCATAAAGATCGTTGTACAATTTAAAAGGTAATTTGTGTCACACATTTCAGCTGAAACGCAGTAAAAACACAAAAGCATAATAAATTATGACAGCAATAAATACATTTGATCAAATGCCATCATCAAGCAAATGCACATGAAATACATTGATCAATTTATTATGAATCAAAAGCAGCTCCAAACGGGGAATTTAGTCTAGATTTAAAGGAACTCAATGTTTCAGCTGTTTTGCAGTTTTCTGGAAGTTTGTTCCAGATCTGTGGTGCATAGAAGCTGAATGCTGCTTTTCCATTTTGGGTTCTGGTTCTGGAGATGCAGAACCAGAACCAGAACTGCCAGGAAACTACAGATGAAAATTAACCCCAGTGGCTAAATCTGGCATTTTTACATGCTTGTTTTCACATCCTCATGTTGATTTATATGTACAGTCCCTTGTAAAATAAATTAAAATTAACAGAAGCAAGTATTAGTTTTACTGCCAGATTATTTCATTTATATCAAAATATTTTTTCCATGTTAAAAGTGAAACAATCTGCAAGAGTATTTTCATCAGCATTAAGGAATTACTGACTTGAGACAAGATCTTATATCTTGCTGAAAAGTTACTTTGATTTATTTAAATTTTTCTAAGATATTCGCACTAGAAACTTGACTGATAAATACTTGGAAAGTTTTTGTTTTTTGCAGTTCAGGTCATCTTATATAAGTTAGAGCTGCTAAAATCAAGGAATGAGTCAATTTTGTCATCAAGCAACAGGAAAAAAATATCCTTAAAAACTGGACCAAACCTCTTCGAAACAACAGAAGTGGTTGCAGTGAATGAAATATTGCTGAGTTAATAAACACGGTCCTCTTGTTTACATGAGCGTTTCACCTGGGTTGCATGAATCTGATGGTCAGCCTGCAGCGAGTCCAGCCAGAACGGCGAGTGTCTGGTGTCAGCATGAGGTCCAGGACGCTGTTTTTAGAAGGCGGGAGGGGAAGAACTACACGTTTCTGGCAGATTATCAGTCATGCTGCGGATGCTGAACCATCAGCTGAATCCTATCCTCCCTCATCAGGGAAACGCATCAGGCTCTGGTCCAGGTAGAGCTGGAGCGCTGTGGGCTGGCATGACTTTCCTTTTACAGGCAGATGAAATGAGGACAGAAACAGACTTGATTCATACATTCAAATTTAGAGTTTATGATCAAGAAGGAAGAACATTTTGCTGATCCAAGATTTTTGTCCTGGTTCATCCTGCTGCCTTATAACTCAGGCAGTTTGTTCACTCTGAGATCCAGTTGATTGATAATAAAGCTCCAGGTGGGAAACTAATTTGTGTTCATGCAAACCAAATGAACAAAACCCAACTTAACCAATCCTTTAGAACCTCACAGAACCATGATGTTTGGTCTTCTTGGTGCATCGTATTCAAACAATTTCACTTTTTAATAAAACTATTAAGCTGCTACTGGCCATTTTACTTTTTGATGTTTGAAAATTAAAAATCAGAAAACTACTGATATCAAAACTTTATGTAAATACAATGCAAGTAATAAAAAAAAGAAAACACAAACACACCCATAAAAGAAAAATAAGACTAAAATACTAGATATGAGTCAAATCATTTACAAAATGATGAATAGTGACTTTAAATACATTAAAAGAGAAAATTCCTTCAACTTTGAGTCTTTCTGCAGTTGATTTCAGTGGAAGCAGCAAACCGGAAGGATTTGTTTACCATAATCATTAAAAAGAGCTAAAATGAAAACATTATGAAGTCAGTTATAACAACAGAGAAATGAGAAATATTTATGTTACACATAAAAGCAATATAGTAAAACTACTGTTGCCTCTTTGGGTTTTAAAAATGTAAATAAAATATTGTCACACGACCGTCGCCATGTTGTTACGCCACAATGCATTCTGGGTAAATGATGTATGCTAGGTCTGAAAAAATGCCTGGGTGAAATTATACAGTGAAAGATATGACATTTTAGAAATAATTGAGTTTTCACGTGTCAAACTGCAACTTTTTAGTTGATGGGAAAATTAAAACATATTCAGCTAATTGTGCATCACTTTAACCACAAGGTATTATTATATGCCGATGATGTTATTCTTTACTTCTTACTTACTTCACTATTTTCTGAGTGCAAAGTTGATATTTCTTAATATTTTTCCAGTAGTTTTGATTCGTTTTAGTCTTTGCCGTTGCCAAGGACAAGAGAGAGGACCGCCCCACACTTTGGACTCTCTAGACTATGAAGTTTTATTCCCTGACTCGATTCATAAAGTCTGTTCTGCCAGGTCCGACGTCTGTGGGCTGGACATGAGATCAGGAGATGGCCCGTTTGGTTTTGACCCGGTAATAAATCACTGTGTTAGGATCCATTTCCAGTCCAGAAGGCATGTTAAGGAGCTCTGATGATTTATGGAGCGAGGATGAGGAGAAACTAACGAGCAGCTGTTCTACTGAGAGGATCGAGGTGGAACCAAGTTCTGCATGTCACATTTCTCTGGTCCGACCAGAACCGGATAGAACCTGACAGAACCTGATCCTTATTGGTAGAAAATTCCAGCTCTAAAACTTGAATATTTAGTAAAAAAACAATTTACCAGTTCTCATCATTCATGCATGAATAAATATATATTCTAGCAGACTCTTGATATTTTTCTTTTTATTGCATAAAGTCATTAATTTCACATCTAGATGAAATATTTCTTCACAATCATGCTGCCAAAAATTGCACAACGTATAAAAACCTTCATCAGAACATCAACACACGACTGTAGTCAGACAGTTACAGCAAGCTGATCCAGATCCGTTTGTCGTCTTCAAACCTGCGAACTGATGGGGAATCAAGAAAAGTTCACAACAATCCACGGACATCAACAGATTCTTCTAAAAATGATTCTTTTCTGAAGATCTTCAGCTTTATTTTCACATTTAACAGCACAAAGAGCAGAAGTCGACCCTCAGAGGGAACCAGGATGTCCCACAGGAGAAACGTCTCATGACCTCTTCACCTTCCTAGCTATACTGTGAAAGGACTCATCTACTGTTCAGACTGCAGCTTTTATATTTTTAATAAATGAAATCAGAAAGATTTCCATGTGTTTGAAATAAATACTCAACATTTTAAGGTAACATGAGTAAATCAGCCCAAAACTCGACCAAATTGTTCTGGATTTATCACCTGAACTGCAGAAAAACAAACATTTATTCATTGTTTTTGGTTTAGTTTCTAGTGCAAAATTATTTCAAATTTTTTAGTTAGTTTGAAATAAGAGAAAAGTAACTTATAACCAACTTTTCACCGAAATAGCTTATTTTAAGTCAATAATTTATTAATGTGGAAGAAAAAAGTACCAGTTCCACTGGCAGATTATTTCACTTATAACATTCTGTTGTAACCAATTAGCACTTTTTAATCAATATTAATGATTTACTGAAAACACGCTCCTTTATCTCACTGAAAAGTTAGTTTTGTCTCATTTAACGTGTGCTGAGATATTTGCAGTAGAAACTAAACCAAACTACTTGTTAAGATTTTGTGTTTTTGATCAGTTCTGAGCCTCTGAGGTCATTCTGATACATTTCCTGTGGGATCGAACTCTGCTCGATGAGGAACTGGTTCGGTCCGACACGCCGGCGTCACAAAGTGACGAGGAACGCCTTCAACATGTTCAGCTCTTAGAAAACCCGACATATTTATAAAAACACAAGCTGAAGGCGTAGAAATCCTCCCAGAATGAGCCTCAAATCCTCCACATAAAGCACCAGGACACATGATTGTTTTCTCACAACAGAAACCAGTTTGCACTGGTTCCGGTTCTTCACGTTAAACTGGGAGCCGGGCCGAGGTTGACCGACAGACAATCGATGAGATGAGATGAGATGAGAGGAAGCCTTTTTCTCCCAGGAAAAGGAGATTCAGACATTCGTTATGAGCAAATATAAAAAAAATGTCACTGACTTCTTTTAAAAATGTAAATTTTACGGAAGACCTTAACTGCCAGAACCCGGAAATAAATTTAGGAGAAGCAAAATGTTAAAATCTCGTTATAATGAGATTTACATGACTTATAAACAAAATATATCAAGTCATAATCAGTCTGCTGCATCTCATTAAAATGAGAAACTTTGCTATGATGAGAAAATTGAATGCAAATTGTTAAAATGAGAATTTTTCTTCTTATAACAAAAAAAAAACAAGTTTCTCATTAAAAGAGATGCAAAATTTGTCCAGTATAACGAGATTATAAAACATGTCTTTGACAAGATACTGCTCCTAAATCTATTTCCAAGATTATGGCAGTTAAAAGCTTTCATAAAATTTGGACTTACTAAATAAAAATGAGTAAATGTAAACTAGAATAATGAATAAATCCAGTTCCCTTCATTCTTTTTCTGGTTTTTTTTTTTCTGACAAAAAAAACAAAACCAAACAAACCATAAAATAACACCGACCGAAAGAAATGCAAGTTTTCCTTTGGAGAAACTAGCTTCCATTTTTACATTTAATTTAAATTTTAGGCTCTAATTCTGACATTTTTACTAGAATGTAAAAATAAATGTCTCATAAAATCAGTTTAATTGAGTCTATAAAACCTTCAGAGCTTCATGAAATGCAATAGATTTATTTTCTTCTAGAAAATGCGACGTTTTACGTTACATATGCAGAATTCAACTTTTGAACTTTGAGTTCATTTTCTGCATGAATGAAAACATAAAAACTTCCTTCACTGACCATCAAAAACACATCAAACTTTACATTTGTGTTGTTTTATCTCATGGACGCCACAAAGACGGAACAGGTAATAAAATGTTAGAATAAAGTATTTCTTCTTAAATCCAATATATTTTTGTTAAAAACTGTTTAATCAAATTAAACCTTTTTGTTCTGCAGCTTATTTAAATTCTGGTTTCTGAGGTATCAGAAGAATTTGATATTTTTAAGGTTGTTCAACTTTAAAGATAAATTTGCTTTATGTCAAAATTTTCTTGTATTTTTTTGTATATGTAATTTAATTTTCACTTTTATTTTAGAAATTTAAAGACAAAAGAATCTTATAAAACTTAAATATTTTCTGACTGTAGTTAATATATCTGCTTTTATATGGTACGTTTTTTTTTTGTTGTTTTTTCACATTTTAGAGGCTACTATTCTGCAACGTAGAGGCTACCTTCCTATAACTTGAATTTTACCTTCCTGTAACTTAGAGGTCACCTTAAGTTACTTTTCTACAGCTTCAGTGTGACTTTCCTTTAACTTAACTATTACTTTTTGAACCTTTGAGGCTGTCGTTCAGCACCTTAGAGGTTACATTAATGTAACTCAGAAGTTCCCCTCTGATAAATTAAAAGTCAGCCAGTTGAACCTTGACCTTCCTGTAAGGCAGATGCAACGTCCCCAAGACTTTTGGGGCACTTTTCTGAAATGTGGAGGCCATCTTTCTGTTATTTTCTAAAACTTACATCCTACCTCCTCACAGCTTAGAGGGGAGAAATACAAAATGAGCTGAAGTCTACTGGAAACTCATCAGTTTCTCTTTCAGTCAGAGTACCTGTTATAATTGAGCTGTCCTCTTCCTGCAAGGTTCAAAAGTCACCTCATATTGAAGTCTAGTTCCTTTGAGTACTTTGTAGGTATTAGAGAAATATCTGAAAGCAAATTCAGTCATCAAAGTTGAAAGTTATGAAAAGTTAGTCGACATTTTCAGGATACCCATAAAATTTTCTCTCCAGCTGGAAAAATTAAAGGCAAAAAAAGTTTTAAATAAGGAGAAAACTTCAAAACTTTAAACACTTCATGAGAGCTGCATTGTCCTGACAGCACCCGAATGCATCATGTCAATCAGCTTAAATGTTCTTCTTTTTCAGGCTGTTTTGGTTCAGAAGAATAAAACGTCGGAGGGTTTGTGGAAGGAAACCAATGAAGCGGGCGGCAGTTAATAGTTCGTCACAGTAAATGGTTCGATGGTAAAGAAGCAAAGTTTACTGATCTTTGCTGGCCAGGAAATCTCGGGACGACCCGTTGGTTTCCGGCGCCGCTCGCTGGAATGAGGAATTCGTTCCTCCTGTGTTGTTGTGGATCTCCATCTGTAGACCTGAAGACACACAGTCCCCACCAATCAAGTCCAGTTTCTCCATAAAAACATGTTGGCCGTCAGAATAACCGCTGACCGAGCAGCCGGAGCAGCAAAGCGTCTCAGCGGCTGGGTCACACGGTGCTTACCTGCCCGCCCTCCGCGTCGGGGTCGGCGGACGGCGGCCGGGCGGCCGAGGCCGGAGGGGGCGGTGACGGGTAGTCAGGCGGCGTCTCGTTCTCGTCTCCTGATAGGCTCCTGGGAACTCCCGTTACCACGGAGCCGGAGAGGCTGACAGGGCGTTTAGCAACGGGTAGCTTCCTCTCTGGCAGACAGTCGGGTCAACATTTTTAGATTTATCTTGTGCAGTTGAAGGCGACACAAATTCAATTTTTCTCAATGAAGTCAAAAAGGACTTGTGCTACTTTCATTTGTGGAACTAAATTGGATCCAAATAAGATTGTTTTTAAAACTTTATCCATCTTTTAAGTCATTTATGTGAAACCTGCGTCATAATTCTGCACCAAACAAACCCAGACGCTGTAAATCAGGACGTAAAAAATGTCTGAAAATGATTATTTTTATGAACTTGTCGCATCCTAACCGTGGCTCTGACAGAAAAACAAACTTCTCTACACTAAAGGCAGATTGCTGTTAGCTTTGCTTTCCTTTTCGTCTTGTTCTGATCTTGTGATGAGACTGTCGGCTCCGTCCATCATCAATCCAGAAACAGAACTCAGCTGTGTCGCAATAAATCAATTAATTGTGTAATAAATTAAAACTAAATTTTTACAATTTATTGTTTTTCTCTATTCTTTCGCTCAACCAAGAACTGGATAATAAAAGCTTCAGTCTGGTTCTAAACATTAATTTGAAGGACAATTTAATTTACAGAGTCCTCCTAATTCATTTTATTTGTTGTTCTGTTTATTTATTTTGGATATTTAAAATGTTTTTCAGTTCCAGTGTTAAATGTTCATTAGTATTTAAAGTTTGTTGATCTTGACTTGGAGAATGTCTTCTTGCATCTTATTAGTTGAAAATAGTCTCTAAACATCAATAATATTATTGTTTATCGCACTAAATAATCATCCAGAAACATTTGTGACAGACTTAAGTTTTGAGAACCAAATCTGTAAAACTTCCATCAGTGGGATTAAAAATCGATTCATAACGACCTACTTTTCTTCTGTCCTCGGTACTGCTGGGACTTCCTCCTCTGTTTGGATCCGGCAGACTGCAGATCTCTGGACCCTGGAGCCAACAAACCCTGGGTTAGCATGTTGGGTTAGCATGTTGGGTTAGCATGTTGGGTTAGCATGTTATGTTAGCATGTTATGTTAGCATGTTGGTTTAGCATGTTGGGTTAGCATGTTATGTTAGCATGTTGGGTTAGCATGTTGGTTTAGCATGTTGGTTTAGCATGTTGGGTTAGCATGTTGGGTTAGCATGTTATGTTAGCATGTTGGTTTAGCATGTTGGGTTAGCATGTTATGTTAGCATGTTATGTTAGCATGTTGGGTTAGCATGTTGGGTTAGCATGTTGGGTTAGCATGTTATGTTAGCATGTTGGGTTAGCATATTGGTGAGGGTTACCTGCGGTAACGGCCGGCGGCTGCAGCTGGTACCCGGTCAGCTGGCACCAGCCCACCGGGTACAGGTCCGGGGACTCGCAGTCCACCCACTGGTCGTACTCGTCTTCCCAGCCGTCGAAGTGGATCCGCAGCAGCCGGTGGACGATCCTGATCACCGTGGCGACGCAGACGAGCCGCGGCTCCATGAGGTCCACGGCCTCCAGCTTCATCCCAGGACGGAAACCGTGGTTCGGGACTTCCTGTTGGAGCGAAGAGAGGGGAGTTTAAACGCTCGTCACGGCGTCTCCACCGTCACCGACGGGTTCTTCTGGGTTCCCGTGGTTCTGAGAGTCCATTCTGCTGCCAACCACAAAATTAAAATAATCTGTTCCATGTCCAAACAATGTTGGACATGCACTTTAAAATCAGAAATTACTCCATGGGTGAAGTTTAGTGGAAGGAGGATCATGGTGTGGAGCCACTTTTCAGGAGTCAGGGAAAAAATAAGTTAAAAACAAAGCTTTGTCTGTTATTCTGCAAATATCCCGGTACACTACAAATAAGACAAAACTAGCTTGAAAGCAAATTTTTCAGTAAGAAATATCAGTTTGTTTTCAGACAATAATTGATGAAAAAGTTCTCGATCCACTGCCAGATTATTTCACTTGTACGAAAAAAAATTTGGCACATTCTGCAGATTTTTCATTTAACCACTTAGGCTTATTATGTACAACATTAAAATACATCAAAATCAAACAAATCATTTTTTAAATAAGAAAAACATTTTATTGCCAAACGTGCAACGACAGATTTACTTGATCAATTTAAAAAAAAAAATGCATCTGCAGCTAAAAAACACTTTTAATATGAAAAATTCAGTCTTAGTATTTACACTCCTTCAGTAGACGGTTATTTTAATAGTCGATTAATCACTTTGATTAGAATCCATCAGTTTTTGGTCTGACCTTGTTGAAGAGGTTGACCGGAGCGGCCACCGACTTGCTCTCCTTCAGATACTCGAACCACCTGAAGGGAAGACCGGCGTAGCCTGCGGAGGGGAAACAGGCGGAGCGTCCGTCATCCCGGATCTCACTGGACGCTTCCAGGATATTCCAAAGCTTCCTAAATCCTCTCATCTCCATCTTAAGAGGTTTTTAATTCACAACTTCTCCAAAAACTTCTCGTTTATGTCCCAATGTTAATGTTCTTCTCTGAACGTACAGAAACTTTTCCTTCTAACTTTTCCAATCAAAAATTTTATCAAGAATTTGAATTAAAAAAAAAATTGATTTCTTCAAACACGTTGTTAGTTTTATTGGGAAAAGCGTCCAAAACGATACACTGCAAAAACACAAAATCTCTTTTGTTTAGTTTACCATGTAAATGTCTTAGTACACAGGAAATAAGACAAAACTAACTTACCAACAACTTTTCAGAAAAATATAGGAGCTCATATTAACTCAATAATATTTATTGAGTTAATAAATAAAGTGGAAATAAAGTTCCACTTGTAGATTATTTCACTTTATGAAACGGGAAAAAAAATGCGAGGTGGAAAATCTGCCAATAGTTTTTGCAGTGCATTCCTGTGTTTCTGTTATTTCCAGGTTTTCAGAAACCATCCGATTTAACGGCGTTTCTTCAAACCTGCGGCTGCAGGAAGCTGGACATACCTCTGGGGGGCGTCAGCTCGATGTTATTGATCTCACAGAACCCAGCGGGGAAGATGGACGGAGACGTGGAGTGATAACAGAACCAGTCGGAGCCGTCGGCTGCTTCCGAGCCGTCGATGCCGATCATCAAGTATCCGTCTGCCAGAACCTGCGGGAGGCGACGGAGGCTGCAGGTCAGGCGGAGGAGTTTGAGTCGCCGTCTGAGCGGGATGACGGACTCCTCTTCCTCACCTTCCTCACTGTGGCCACGCAGATGGCAGACAGGTTCAGCGGGTCGATGGCCTCCAGCTTCATCCCGTCCTGGAACCAGAGTCCGGTCTGATCCACCTCCTTCACCTGTGGGGACAGAGGACATCGCTCTCAGGTCTACAGGTATTAAACTGCCCCCTAGTGGTCACAAGATGGAATAGTCTGATGTAATGACTGTATATGGATTAAAATGAGGGACGCAAATAATGATTATCTTAGCAATTATTCTGGCAATTACTCGATTAATTGGACCAAAGAATTGGCACATTCTGCTGATTTTTCAATTAAACGCTTAAGCATTTTTATACAATATGAAAAATGCAGATAAATAATTACATTCTTTTTTTAAATAAGAAAAGTTTTTTGGTTTGAAACAAATAATCACAATTAATCGTTTCAAGCCCAATTAAAATCAGGTCAATTAGTAAAAAAAAATCCAGAAATCCTGAGAATTTGTTTTGCAACTTTCGGCTTAATAAGAGAACAACTTTAAAAAGCTGCAGATGTAAAATATGGTTGCAATCGATTTTATAATCAATAAATTTGACATCCAAACAGGTTTAAAATGCATGAAAAACAGAAGAGCCCAGCTGAGGCTCACCTTGGCAAACAGCTGTCCAGGAGCGTCCATCTGTCCGTCCAACTTCCTCGTCCCGTCTGAAAACAGAAACACACACCGTCACCCTCCGTCTGCCCCTCCGTCTGCCCCTCCCTCCTTCCTCCACACCGCCGGACTTAAGCCACGCCCACCTGATCGTTTGAAGCGGTGTCCGATGGAGCGGGACCAGCCGATGCTGTGGATCAGCGGGCTGTACATGTGGCACCAGAAGTCGTCCGTCCCGTCGTCGCATTCTTCGTAGATGAGGCGCAGCCGGCCGCCGATCACCTGCAACGACACGGTGGTCATGGAGACGGAAGCGCCCCGGCCGTGCGACCGGGCCGACGCTCACCTGCTCCACCAGAGCCACCCGAGTCCGACACAGGTGGGTCTTATCCACCACCTCCACCCTCATCTGCTTCTTGAAGGGGAACTGCATGCTCTCCTGCACCTGGAGGAGGAGGAAGAGGACACCAGCTAATTTCTTCCTACTTTATCCAGTTTGGCTCATTTGTAACTTTGTGGATATTCAGATGCAGCTATCGCAGTTTTCAGATTCAATCTGTGCAAAATTGCCAGTTTAATCTTTAAAAAAATAATAATTTCTATAACGATGGCAGCTGAATGAGCAGAACCGAACTGCGTCACCTTTGATGAGAAGTCTGGCGGCAGAGTTTTGGACCCGGTCAGTCTCTTAATGAGGAAGGTCTTCCAGTTGGTGAACCTGTGCAGAATGGCTGCAGACAGAAAAGTGTCGGCCAATCAGAAATCAAACCAAACGGGTCGGTCTGGAGCAGAAAACCGCCCAGGATCTGGTCCGTCAGAATCATTTACTCACTCTGAGGAGGAACCAGAGGTTTCCCTCCCGCCGCGCACCAGCCCACCGGGTGGATGTCCGGCACGCACAGATTCAGCCAGAAGTCCCTGGTGGAGTCACTGTCGAAGCCCTCGTAGCGCAGCAGGGCCTTAAAACCTGCGGGAGGAACCAGAACCCGTCCGATTAATCCAGAACCTCCCCAGACGAAGGCTTTAGACGGATCAGCTGAGCTCCGGGCGCTAACCGGCTAGCTTGATGATGCTGGCGATCCAGTAAACCTTCATGGGCAGACCGCTGTCGGTGTTCGGGACCTCGACCCGGACTCCTTCACTGACGCTGGCCCACGACTTCCCCATCAGAACCTGGACAGACGGAGCGTCAAACTGGGCTGGAAGCAACAAAACCTCCTTCTCCAGGACGAATTTATTCATTTTCTTCAGGAGGAATCTGCTGGTACCTGACGAGATCCACTTTTACCAGGATCCAGTGAGGAATGAAAAGAACTCACTGGATCAACCAACACTCCAAAACAACAGCCAAGTCCAAAGAACCCATTTCTGAACAGCTTTTTATTTCAAGGCTGATGAAAAAATGCTGTGAATTTTCACAATCGCAGAATCACAGAAAACTGGAGGCACTGATTCTCTTTCAGCATCTGGAGTCTAAAGGGCCACATAAAAAGCTTCAGCGGGCCACATTTGGCCCCCGGACCTCGAGTTGGATGCATGTAGAGGAAACCAAGATGGCGCTGAGGAGATGAACTCACGTGTTTAAAGCAGCTGACCGGCGCGCCCGTCACTTCCCCGTCTCCTAGGTACCGCCCCCAGTCAAACACGTCCACAGAGACTGCAGGACGCACCGCAGGCGTTAGAGAGCCGCCATGTTTGTGATGATGATGACGAGTGAGGAAGGTTCTGCTGCTACCCACCGCTCTTTCTGGCGCCGCCCTGCTGGCTGGACTGGTGCTGGGCGTACGCAGCCAGTTTGGTCATCAGAGGCTGTTTTTGCAGAACTTTGGCCTTCTTGGTGGGCGGCTTCCCCTTTCAAACAGACAGGAGGCAGATCAGAACCTTCCCGGGTTCAGGAAGGTTCTGATCGGACCGGGTCGGGCTCACCTGCAGCCTGGCCAGGATGCTGGCCTTCTTGGAGTTGGAGGAGAAGCTCCTGGAGCAGGAGACGCTGCAGAAACGCTTGGTTTTACTGTAGAAAGCGTCCCGGACCCCAATCATCCCGCACATCTCACAGGTGGCTGAAGAACAACGGCGGAGAGAAAAACTACCATGAGGAAAAACTACCACCTGCTGAGGTCCACTGCCTCGTTGGTGCCCAAACTTTTCCACATCATGGCCTCCAACCAGCATTAGCTTCTGGCCGGGGAATCCCACAGACAAAATATGCAAACAAGCATCAACTTTCAGAATATTTTTCATCACTTTCCAATAATTAAATGCCAACTCATACTTCTGATTTCAGTTCTTAGCTTTTTGTGCAGCAGTGTCCTCCACTGTCTTATTTCGTGTTTCCATTTTTTGATTGCTAAGCTAACTGTAAGGAGCAAAGCACCAAACATTTTTGATTCTAATAAAAAATGTATTTGATTTTTGTTTATTTTTGCCTTTTTTCTCCCATATTGTGGCGCCGCCTGGTGGAAAGACACTGCGCCAAATGGCCCTGACGTTTACAACCAATTTACTCAAATTAAATTCTTCCACCATAAACAATGTGGTGCTTAATTGGTTTGAGGTTTTTGGGAAATTGCTGCAACTGGCATTAAATGGAAATAAAGTGGGGCTTGTTTTTTTAATTATTTATTTATTTTATCTTCTTTCTACTGTATCTGTAATGCTTGAGAACAAGTTTAACTTTCTGGAAACTCTTCTGACTGACCCATGCCCGCCTTGCCGTCGGGGTAGGTGTACACCTGTCCGTTGGTCTTGATGAGCATCAGGGAGGAGGAGGAGGATGAAGAGGTGGTCAGTTGATGGCCAAGGCCGCCCACGCCGAAGTCTTCGTCCTCGCTGTCCTCTGGGCTGGACGCGCCGCTGCCGGCGCTGGAGTCTGAGCTGCAGCTGCTGCGGTCCTCCTCCAGGCTGTCTAGCATCCCGAAGGAGTCCTGCCGCTTCCTGGACGGACGCTCCATCTGAGGACAGACAGATGATGAGAAAACAAGGCAAAACAAAAAAACAACTACAACAAAGAAAAGGTCCTTCCTATTTGTTTTTATTAAGCATTATCTCTAAAACTTATAGAGAAATATAACTCAAAAGGATGCTCAACATTCCTCATTTTAATTTTCTGTTTTTTGTGTTAGAGTTCCAATTGAATAACTATTTTATTCTCTCAGTATTACAACTTAATTCTCATAACTAAAAATAAAAATCTTAGGCTTGCCCTAATATTCCACTGTTGACCTGAATTCAAAGACCAAATAAACAGAAGCAGTAAAACATTCATTAAACAAAATGGCCGCCCTGGGCGTGCTGACATCAATCTGAACTCATCGGAAACTCAAGAAGTTCACTGGTGAAAAAAAAGTTTAGATTTACAAAAGAAATTATATATTCACAATATCCCCACAATATGACTGAAGGCTTTCTGCAGAAAGTCTTCAGTCAGGGGCCTCTCTAGATTTGTTGCGAGACTGACTGTTGCTGGAGAGCCTACCTTAATATGTTCATATTTTCTCACTGCTGTCAGGACCCCAGCTGAAGAGTTTTGGACATAATATTGAATCTCTGAAGACTCTTGAAATCTCAATAAATAAATAAATAAATAAATAGAAGTGTGGATTTGTTTTTCAACATCTGGTAGAGAGAGTGGAGGAAAGTTGGGTAATGTTAAGATGGAAGGAGATCTTCCACAGTTGCTTCACATGAAATTTAAAGCTGAGGTTGGAAAGTTGTGGCAGATTCACGCTGTAGAGGAGAGAAGTAGAGGGCAGGACCGAATACGAACCCCTGAGGGATCCCACAAGTGAACATCCTGTTCTGTTTGTGCATTTGTTCTGAAAAAATCTTCAATATTTACATTTAAAGCAGAAATGATAGCTTCTGTTTCTTTCAGTCTCAGCTCTACGCATTGAGAAGTTCCTCTGGTATAATAGAGAACAACAATTTCCCAGGTTTTCTTTGGATTTTGGCAGTTTTTGGACCTGACCATGTTTTCAGTTGGGTTTTTGGGTCATTCGGGTTCCTCCCTTTTGGTCCCATCGGTATTATTTATTTTAGCCTCATCACATGTTTAGATCTGTCAGGCATCTGCAGCTCATTAACATCTTCATGATCAGATCTTGTTTCTTTCTTCAAGCTCTGCACTGCGGTGCTCTGACTCTGCAGGGCACCACACCAGACTCCCTTCAGCATTCCTCTAATTCCCGCTTCCTGCCGGTTCTGAATCCAGCGCCAAGGTTCTGGAGTTCAACTCGCAGCTTGGTTTCACTCATCTACACTCATCGCTTTATTCGGCATACATGACCTGACTCTGTAACGGCGTTATGTGTAGGAATCAGTCTGTCAGTATGGATCGTCGCTGCTCTCTGGAGAAGCGGCTCGAACAAGCATAACAAAGCGGGAACAGAGGTCTGTCTCCGGGCAGAGGAGGCAGGGACTCACCGGGTCTCTGGGGGTCTCCATGGGGCCAGATCCCGCACAGGAGGCCGCTGTCTGGATCGCCTCAGCCCGCAGGAAGGCAGGTTAAAACCTAGCGGCTGACATAACAACACAATTAGCACAGCTCAGAGGCTGAATGCGGGTCGCTGATTGGCTGCTGGCTCCCTTCATGTGTGGAGTTCAGATGAGGCGGCAATGCGTCCACCGCCCCCTGCTGGACAGATTCAGAAGCGCAACAACAAAACAGCTCAACTCACAGCTGCACAGCTGCGGCTGCAGAAAACAGTGCGAGGGAGTAATAGGGCCAGACAAAGAGAAAAAAAATACGAAAATAAAATTTTTAGTCTCGATCTCATAAAACTAATTATCGTAATATTTCAACTTTATTCTCTGAATATTATGGCTTTATTCCTGCAGAAAACTTATTACTTTAATTAATTTTATTTCCTTAACACTGTTGTAAACACTCCATTGTCAGACAGAAGTGCAAATATCCCAACATTTGTTGCATTTTATGGTTCATTAGAACCATAAAATCAGTGATTTTGTATGCAATAAATCACCAAAACAATCTAAAAATCCTGGAGGGACTGATCAATGTGAGAAGATGTTATAGTATTGCATTTTAAAAAGTATTTATCAAAAGCATACACAGCTATTTATTAATATTTTAAAAGTGTGTTATTGGGTTCATCAATACATTCTGGCACAACCGGCCCTTTGAGAACATTTGTGCTTTTGACATGGCCCAAAATGAAAATGTGTTTGACACCAGTGCTCTAGTGTAGAGCAAACACTCACTGAATGGGCCTGGTTTTAAAGAAGGTGCACCACCTACTGACAGCCAGAAGATGGTGCTGTTGAACTCAGGCTGAACTCCAGCTCCATGTGTGGATTCCTCTGAAGAACAGGATGTCAAGTCAAGGAGCAGGAGGAGGAGGACATGCTGGGACTGGCAGGTCGGCCAGAGGTGGAGCCTCAGAGACAGGAACCTGTTTGAAAGATTCAGAATCAGAGAAAAACTGGATCAGGATGTTTGGATCTGACTTCTTATGCAGGTAAAACCATCTCTCTCCCTTTGGATTCAATAGGAATGTACTATTGGATGATTCTAGGCTGAAACGGCACCTGAAATGCTATTAAGAAGTAGTTTATTTGTTTTTTCCCATGTGAAAAAAGGTAAAATGGTTCTTCTGGAGTAAACCTGACTGAAGTTCTGTTCTGTGGCCCGGTTAACAGAGACTCTGCTGCTGAGCTTCAAGGCTGGTTCTGTCTGCGTGTGTTGTTGGCTGGTTTCTGTGGCCGGGTGTGTTCAGCTGAAAGAAAACCCACCCTGTTCTGATTTCAGACCAACGCTGAGCCTCAACTCGTTTCGGCTTCCAGGAGAAATCCCCGGGTTCTCCGGTACAATGCTGGACCCAGAGATCAGGAAGGCTTCATGTGTTTTCTGTTGTCAGGTGTTGATTACCTCTGGGTTCATATGGGACACAGCGACAGTTCAGGAGAGGAACCAGTCCAAGCACATTTCTCTGTTCCCATGCTGCAAACACTGAACCCAGCAGAACATGAAACAAGGAAGTTCTATTGGAAATGTGGCTCCAGCTTCTCAAGCTGAGTTCCTGAAGATGCCTTAAGGACCTCAAGGTCTCACTTTTCTCTCTAATGGGTCAGTCTTCATTAATTTTTTCACATTTCCACTGACTGGACCTCAAGAATGTTTCAGAACCAGGAGTGGAAGTTGTTTCAGAGCGTTTCAGGTCAATATTTCTGAGTCCTCTGGTGCCCATCTGATCCAGTCACAGGGAACCTCCACCACAGCTGGTTCTTCTTGCTCCAGTAGAGTAGTAGACTGTTTTTACACTGCAAAAACACAAAACAAACCAAGTGTTTGTGTCTAGTTTCTCATGTACTCCTGAAATAAGACAAAACTAGCTTACGAGTAACTTTTCAATGCGTATATGACCTTGTTTGTTAAAAAAAAGAGTTTTATGGCTGAAAAAGTACTATTTCTGCTGGCTGACTATTTCACTTATAACATTGGGACATTTTTCTTCTTATAAGTAAAATAATTTGCCAATAGAACTGGCACTTTTAAATCAATTTTAAGCACTTATTTACTTAAGGCAAGCACCTATATTGCTTATGAAAAGCCACTTATAAGTGACTTCTGTCTTATTTCCAGTGTACTAAGATATTTGTACTAGAAAGTAAACAAAAATTACTTGGCAAGATTTTTTGTTTTTGCAGTATAATAACAGGTCCAACCAAGTTCTTCTGGTGGATCCAGTTGTGTTCTGGTTCTTGTCTGATCCTCCCCTCCCTTTGATGTGTTCAGATATCCGTAGGCAACCACAGCAGAGAGACACAATCCAACCGACGTCTTGCGAACCGGTGTCTGAGGGCCTTAAGATCCAGATTTCTAGAGCACAAAAAACATTCATGAAAATGGGGAAAACTGTATTTTGCAGTGAAATCTGGGATATTTGTAAAATTTGTTGAGTTGGATCTGAAGAATCTGGGTTTTCCAAACAGTTTTGGTGAGAGTGTCCCTCTTACTGTTGAGGGAAAGAGAGACTGTACTGGTTCTGTTTTGATAGCTGCAGTTAAAAACTGAGTTTTTCCAAGCTGGTTGCTCAATGAGGCACATGTTAGTGGGCAACATGGAGGCTAAATGCCTTGCGCAATGGCTGAGAGAAATTGGAAAATGAGTAATTTTCAGATGTTGGGTTCAGATTTTGTTGTTCTACTGGACCCGCCCTGAATTCCTGACGTTCTGACCCGGTAATGAGGTGTTGCTTGTACAGGAGCAGTTTTTTTGGGAGCAGAATTTGCCTTGGCAATAGAAACTGAAAAAAGTGGTTCATAGTCAGATCACATTCTTCAAGGTTATTGTACCAATTCATGGAAAACGAGTTTAGGAGTCCCAAAGACTGAGAACGTCCCTGGTGGATTCCAGACTGCAGGACAACTGAGTCCTTAGATACACAAGAACATCTCTGGTTGGACCCGTCTCTGCTCTGGTTTAACGAGGGCAGATCAGTTAGTTAATCAGAGAGGTTGTCATGGTAACTGGTTTCTTTATTAGCCTTGAACTTTGACCTACAGGAAGCACGTAGTGATATAGCAAAGGTGAAAGTGTTTGTGAAGTTTGTGGAATCTTCAAAAATAAAAAAAAGTCTCCTGGAGGAGTAAGTGGTCTTGGATTCTGTTCTGGGTGTTTGTGAGGAAACGGTTCTGGTTGTTTTGGAGACATTAATGTTCTTTTGACAGATTACCTATTCTGGTTTCAGGACCATGGTCTTGGAGTGTTTTCACCAAGATAGTGTGGTAGATTGAGTTTGACAGGGGCACCAAAATTGCAACATTTGTTACACTTTCAGCTGGTGCAGTTCACTTTCTCACTGCACCGAGTCAAACAAACCAAACTCTTGGAAAAATCTGTTCCCTATGTCTCTTTGTGTCACTCTGCAACGGACTAGAGACAAGCCTAGCATGGACCAACAAAATTATAGGTAAAGATAGTGACTAGCCTCCCAATGACCCTACAAAGATGATGATGGATGGTGGTCTTTTGATTGATGTGGAGGATCAAAAGGAGGTTGCAAAGATGAGACTTTACAGACAATGTTCAACAAGGTTCATCTTGTTGATTGACATCTGACCCAATGGTTGAACGATTCAGGAACAGGTTGTAGTTTTGACTGAGTTTCTTGGCTTCTTCTGGAGTTTTGGATACACGAGTAGGTCTTGTTGACCTTTGGAATTAGTTATTGAATCATTTCAAGTACTTCAGCAGGTCTGTGGAGATTGCACATTGGTCTCAGTGCTTTTCTGTGAGATCTAGGAGGTCTGATTATGTTTATGTCCATTAAAAGAGTTCTCTAAAAGATAGGGTCTTTTAAAGGGAACTTAGCAGGAGTCTGAAGGTGTTTTAAGTTGGAAAAATCTGAGAGGATGTGTAAAGATCTCCTATAGTTTTTTTTTTTGATTAACTTGTTAAGGTGTTTGTCATAACCCAGAACAGGTTTGACTGATATTTATGCTCAAAAGGCCTGGAGGGATCGAAGAAATCAGGAAATGAAAAACAGAGGACACTTGAAGCCCTGAAAACTGGAGGAACCATCTTGAAGAAAGATGTGCTGGAAGTTTTCAAGTTGTAGAGAAGAACTTAATCAACAGCAGAAATATACAATATTTCTGAGCAGATTTTTGAATTGAACAGGTGAATCGGACACCTGCACGTCTCTGTTCAGAGACTCCCACAGTTGTCTCATCTTTCTGTCTCTGAGCTGATCATGTGTCGGACAGTAAACGTGTAACTCTGTGTCATGTCGAGTCCGTGTGGTCAGACTTTCTCAACATTCCTGTTTGTTTTGCAGTGTTGTGTAGGAAGACTCGGCTGAAGGATTTATGAGCTCAGCCCGGTTATTTCTGTGCTTAGCGTGACCACACCCACACTCACCCACAGGGTAAAGGTTGGGTTTCCGACAGATGTGCTCTGCTCTGATTGGTTGCTGGGTCTGTGATGTCACATGACACACCATCATTGTAGATCCCACCATGTTGTAGGGGATGATCCTCTGAAGGAATGTTTGCTTTGCTCTGATTGGTCGATGTTCCGGCCACAAACCTCGACCTTGGTCTGATGATTGACAGCTCTGTTTATTTTCTGCTTGCACAGAGCGGTGTGTGTGTGTGTGTGTGTGTGTGTGTGTGTGTGTGTGTGTGTGTGTGTGTGTGTGTGTGTATGTGTGGGGGTGTGGGTGTGTGTGTGTGTAGGGGGGTGTGTGAGTTACATGGCAGTTTGCTGAAGGGAGGCACTGAGTCATGCAGACAAACAGTGAGTGAGAGAACAGAGTGAGAGGTGGCTGCATTCCAACATGGAGTCTCAAACACACCTGAAGCAGAACAGATCTGGGTCCAGATTCTTCAGAAGGTTCTGGTCGATTTCAGTTCAACTGGTGATCCAGGATGTTTAAGTGTGAATAGTGAAAAAAATCAGATGGTTGGTTGGATGGATGAATGGATGGTTGAACAGAAGAATGGTTGGATGGATGGTCGGTTGGATGGATCAGTGGCCTCTGAATCCTGTGGTCTGCAGTCCAACCTAACAATAGGACTCTGTGTTGTTTTGACTTCACCTCCGTCCTGGGGCCCCTCCAGAGTCTTGGGCCCCTTTTGATTACAGGTCATTAAAATCTACCAGATCTCACATTTTGATGACATATGAATCAGATTTCAGTCTCTCTGCAGTCTGAATCTTTTGGTCGGACTATTGTTCCTCCACAAAGACAGGAAACACACAATGTGATGTCATCGACACATAGCAATGTAGGTGGAGCTTAGAGCTGACAGGAAGAGCAGGACTTCCCTTAGTAAACAGAGCTGGCGTGGAATCAACCTCCTGTCATTGTTCTGTGAGACAGAGTGCCAGGCTCAGAGGCAGCCGGGCAGAAAAACTCAGAGAGGAGCAGTCCAGAGCTGGAGATGGGACTTCTCGCTTTCTCTCAGGATCCAGGCCAAAAGTTGATCAGCTGCTGCAGCTGTTCCAGTTCCTTCAGGGGTCCAACCTTTGTCCAAGACCTGAAGGAATGTGGAGAAATCAGGAAAATCTGTCGGACACAAAACAGCAGCTGGGTTTTTAACTTGGCATTCTGTTAGATTAGCCGTCAGTCACAAGTTTGTAGAATAAAAGTCACAAATTGCTCTATAAAACAAAATAAATGCTAAAAAGTGTAAAAAAAAACAAACAAACAAACCAGCAACCATGAAATAAAGAAATGATAAAAGCTGCTAATGTGAACTAAATAGTTGAATCTTATTCTGCAATCATGATCCAAAGAGAGCCTGAGAACCAGAACCGCCACCCGGAGGCGAGTCTCTGCTGAGCTGTGTGTTTCTCAAGTCAGGAGGAGGTTAACATGTTCAAACAGGTTCTGACGGGTTCTGAAATGAAGAGCGGCTTGATGCTGTCATTCCTGACGGGTTCTGTGTGCAGCTGCTGTTACTCGAGGAATCCTGAGCAAAACAATCATCAGCTGTACTGTTCTGGGATCTGCTGTTTGTTGTAGATGTTCTGGTTCAGTCTTTATGAGTTCTGAATGAAGAGGTCCTCAAGGAGTGAGCCATAGTAAACTGTGGGTCCAGAATGTCTCGGAACCAAGAGAAGACACTAAAGTTGAAAATAAAAACATATAGAACTGACCAGAACTCATGATATAGCATTTTAAATGTTAACTTGTCTTACAGCTTATTAGATGTAAATCTGATGGTGTTTTCACACCTGGTAGAATTGGTTAAAATGCTACGAACAGTTTAAAAATTTTGGGATTTTTGAAATTTTTGAGAAAAATTTTTGAAATTTCTGACATTGAAAAGTTAAAAAATTACTAGAAAAAAATTGGAGAATAATCCCAAGCTTAAAACGCAAATGTTTAAAACGTCCATATTTTCCTTTTTTTTTTTTTTTTAGCAAATATTCAACATTTTAATCTCAGAAATGTCCAAGAACTGTTTCTATAATATTTCTGAGATTAATCTAAAAACATTTCTAGTTTTTTCTAGAAATGTTGTAACTTTTTAAACTGGAAAATTTCCTCGTGTTTTCTGAGTTTTTATTTTTGGCAGTGACGCACCCTGTCTACAATTGCCCTAAAACGGCTTCGTACCAAACTTTTAACAAACCTGTCCCCCTCCTCACCTGTGGGGGCGCTACACCACTGAAGGAACCGACACAAACAGCTCAGAAAAAGACACTCAGAGCAACTTCCTTCTTCACAAAATGTTAACAGAAGCGGAGTCGCGTTTTGTTTTAATTTTTTTGTTTTGGCTCCACGGGCCATTTCTCCTGGTACCGCTCGACTCGCGCGTTTGTTTCGGTAGTACTTACCCAGAATGCCTTTTGTTTCTCCTTTTTTCTCTCTCCCGCTTGATTTGGAATTTATTTTTTGTTCACGCAGATATCTGTTTTCAGCCGGGTTTAATTATTAGGAAGAAAAAAAAACGTATTTTTGGCTAAAAATTTTTAAATTGAGTGTCAAGATTTGCTGTGTGACGGTAGCATCAGAGATGCTAATGCTAATTTTGAGCCGGTTTGATGATGGCTCACAATCTATGGAGAGGTGGAAATAAGATGTTTTCTGTTGATAATTTACAGTTGAACAAAATCATGATTTTAAGTTTATTTAGCTTCCGGATTCCTGGATCTACTTGTATTGTCTCTAATATAATGTTTTCTACTTTTAGGGTCACTGAGAACCAGCGGTGACCTTTGACCCCTCACCTTCAGAGTGTACCTGAGGGGGCGATGCCTGGGGAGGTTAGAGAGGGAAAAATGGCAGCGACGTCCTTGATGCCGAGCAAAGGTGAGTGTGTTAGTCATGTAGAAGCAAACCGGACCTGAGAGGTTCTGACTGAGCAGGTTTGGAGAAAAGGCCTAAATGCAGTCTAACTTTCCAGGTCTTGGTCTGGTTCTGGTGGAGTTTGAGTACGAATACAAAGACCAGAACGGGGTTCTGGTCACCATCAAACCTAATGAGCGCTACGTCCTGCTGGCCAAGACCAACGACCACTGGTGGCACGTCCGGAACGACAGCAGCTCCAAAGCCTTCTACATCCCGGCCAAGTACGTCAAGGAGCTACCCACCAACTTCCCGTCGCTATTGGACTTTGCTGAAAAACCCGGTCCAGAACCAGTCCCTCATCTTGTGGTGGCTCCAGTTCCTGTTCCTGTTCCCGTCCCGCTTCCAAAGAGTCTGGAGAAGCCTGAAGGAACCAGAATCAAGCAAAATGATGAGGTGACGATCCGCGTCAGACCCGACGCTTCCAACCGGCACCACCGCAATGAGAACCGCATGTCCACTTTCGGCGTACATCTAGACTTACCGGACCTAGCACATGTATCGCCGAGGGTCCATACAAACCATTCTGCTGGTTCTGCTGAGACTGGAACCACAGCTTCCACTGGGACCGCAAACATGGCTGACAGTAAAAAGCAGCCCCAGGTCAAGGGCCACCATGAGGACCAACAAGATTCTGGGAAACCGCGGGTTCCCAGCTTCAGTCCGGCGGACCCACGGACATCTAGCCGGCATCAGAACCAGCCCATTCCTGTGGAGATGCCCGTGGTTCCCCCTCACAGCAAAACATCTGAGGGTCGTCATGACAACAAGCAGCAGAAACAGGAGCCAGAGGAGGAAGAGGAGGTGGCTGAGGAGGCAACCACATCAGAGAGCAGCGAGGAAGAGGAGGAGTGTCGAGGTCACCACATCTACGAGTCCATCCAGGACCTGAATCTGGACGTGGAAGCTCTGAGCCTCCAGAAGGCTCCATCAGCAGCACCTGAGTCCTCACTTCCTGCTGCGGCGCTGCTCTCCTCACAGGTAAGACCCGCCCACTTATTCAGCCTCCTACCTGATTTAGGTTTTCATTTTCCAGACATTTCTGCTGATTCAGGTTTCACAAAAGTTTCCATCAATTTCATCCATTTCCATTGATTTAAACACTCCAGACCCACAGGGGACAGTAGAGTGCTAAGCTAAAACCTACATCAGCCAATCAGAATCCTTCAAAATAACCCAACTTCCTGTTAGGAATTAAACATAACAGCAAGTGGTTTATTTGTGTGGACTGAAATAAAGTTTGAACTTCTTTTAATTCGAGCATTTGAATATAAAGTAAATTAAAAATGAGACAATCCTAATATATTGGTGCATTATTTGTTGTAGACTGTAATTCACTGGATCTTAAATCTCCATTTTGTATGTCCTCATACAAATACAAACACACAAATCTCTCCCCGATCTGCATTAGTTTTTAATGATGCAGTTAAAGTTGCTGCTTTACACTCTCTATTGATCTCTCATTAATCACTGCAGGTTGCTCATTGGTTTGTGAGCTAATGTCACATGACTCTGACAGCCAATAGCCTTCTGCAATGTCAGTAGCTTTGATTGGCCATGTGGGAACATTGTGGCACTTCTTTTTTCTGTCATCCTTGAATACATCCTGACCCAGACAAGTCCTTGAATGCAGCATGCGTGCTCAGATTGAAGGTTTAGTTCCTGTGTGTGTTTCCTGAATGATCCGGATTTCCTGTTGGAGTCTGGAGGAAACAAACCGTGTGTGCTGCTCAGGTCAACATGGCTTCGTTGGATTCTTTTGACCTCCTGATCACCAGGATCAGAGTTGATGTTCTGAATGTTTCATCTGCTGCATCATGAAAATCAAAGCCTGATGTTCAGAGGCTGCTGGTCTCCCTACAAAATAAAAGCCCTGTGCAGCCGTGGCTTATTTCCTGCAGAGTCGGCACAGGAAGCTCGAAGCAGAAAAAGCTGTTTCCTCTTTTTATTCTCCTCAAAGCAAAACCCCACCCCCCCAAAAAACAAAAAACCAGCTGAGCTTTTACTGGTTAATCCTAAACTGGCTTCATGTTATTGTGGTTCTGCTGTAGGTTTATCATGAACTTAAAGATGAACCAAGTCAACAACAGACTGATTTATCCGCTGGTGTTCATGTAGTTTTTCTGATCCAGTCAGAATTTGTAAGGATGAGCAAGTTCTGGATGATTCTAGCTCTGCAGCTGGTTCTGGACGAGTTCAGGGTCTCGGTGTAGAACGTCTGATGTCAGAACAGGATGTGATGAGGTCAGGTGGAAGCAATGATGTCACAGCGGACAGGAAGAGGTCAGGTCAGACAGGAAACCGTGAGGCAGCGGTGACGGTGCAGCGACACCTGCAGGTCAGAAGGGGAACAGAACCAGAACCCAGACTGTGTTCTCTGAGTAAAACTCTGAAAGCTGCAGAACTTCACCTCATCTGGTCTTAAAGCTGTCATGTGTAGCAGTGTGAGAAACTGAGTCAAAGCTTTCTCTGTTGCCAGTTTTATTTTTTTATTTCCAAATGCTTCCGAGTAGTTAATGATTCTGAAGGAAAGTCTAAGGGAAGTTAGTATTTTTCTTAACGAGTTGACAGACCATAACAAGACCTTTTTAACAAGAGCTTCTGCTTAACGAGCTCTTAACGAGTTGTCCCTAATGAGCTGGCTTAGATAAATCTCTGGTTTATGAATAGCTTTGTGTAAAGTAGTGATTTCTTCTGGTCTAAATTTGAACCATGTTGATGTTTGTACCTTCAGTTGGTCTGATTCCAACTAATCACTGATTAGCTCACTTCCTTTACTGATTCATGTGACGGTCTTTGGACTCAGGCAGTGGGTCACCTGGTTTCGCCTGTATCTTTGTCCTGGAGTTGTTTATGACATTCCCAGAAGATCCACCAGTGTTGTTGCTGTAAATCAGCTGTAGTGGGGCAACTCCTCCTAAAGCTCCGCAAACATTTATTACCTTTCCGGGAATCTGTTCAGGGATTTCCTTCCAGCAGCAGGACCACAATCTTCCTGGTCAAAGTCCTGTCACTGCTGATTGGTGGATTGTCTGCAGCTCTTCCTGGTCAGCCTCTAACTCAGGTCAGAGTTAGGTTCTGGTTGATCAGTTAATGAACAGACCTGCTATTGACTGGACCAGTTTTTGAATGGAACCAGTTATTGACCTGATCATCTATTTAATAGACCAGGTATTGGGCTAACCCACTTTTAACAGGCTATCAACGGAGCAGATCAGCTATCGACTGGACCAGCTATCGACCAGACCAGCTATTTAGGGATCTAGCTATTGACTGTATTAGGTTTTGAGTGGAACCAGTTATTGAGCTGACCAACCAGTGACCAGTGCAGTTATTGACTGTACTAGCCGTTAAACTGACCTGTTTCTGGTAGGACTGGTTGTTGATTGGAACAGTTACTGGTAATTGTGGATTCAGATGATGATGGTGTTCCACTGGGAGATTGATGTGAAGGTGAGTGACTTCAGTTAAGATCTTTTTCTGCTCATCATGACCATGACTCATTCTGAGCCTTGAACTATTATCTTTGGACCCTGCTGAAGAACTCAGATGTAGATTTTTGCTTTAACTAACACCAGCATAATCAAGCTGAACCTCCATCAAAACATAAAACCGTTATGTTCCCGGGGTTATCTGTAAAATCTCACATGGTCTGAAAGGTCAGGAGATCAGATAAATCAGAGTTAAGGAGAAGGTTTTTAGTCTGAAAGGTCAGGAGATCAGATAAATCAGAGTTAAGGAGAAGGTTTTTAGTTTGTTGATGAAAGATGTGTCTTTATGATGACCGATGGGATCATCTGTGTGAAACCGAGTACTTTCAGATCTCCAGGAGCTGGTTCTCAGTGGCAGCTAGAAGCTTCCTGAAGGCGGTAAACAGACTGCAGCTGATCGCGCCGATACCACATGCTTGTGTTTTCAAGATGATCAGATAGCTTCTAAGACGGGGCGGAAGGGAAACAGAGGCAGGTCTGAGGAAGTCTCTGACACAACTGTGACAAATCCTGAAAAGGTTTTCTTAGAATGCTGTTGCCTCAGTTTGACGCACAGTCGCATGTGGACATTAGCATTTTCACATGGTTTTCACACATGGCGCAAGATCCCTGGATCTTCCTTTTACTTTAATGAAACGGTCACACACAGAGCGCCACCTTTCTGCAGGAAACGAGGCGTCCTCCTCCATGGACAAAAGTGTAGCAGTTTCCATCCAGGAGCATTTGACAATCTTTGTAATTAGTTAGTGAAGAATTGTGTAGATGTAAATAATTCCTCACTGTTTCAGACATGAATAAAACATAAATATTTACGTCATCTGCAGTCATAGAAATTGGATAGTGGAAGCAGAAATACTAGCATTACTGTCACACTTCACACAAAGATGTGACAAGGTAGTTTGACCCAGGTCTATTGTTGAGAAAAGATTTTGATGATGCAATTCTTGTCACACAATTGTCAATAAGAGCCATTTTTTGACACTTTGGACTAAGTATATCTGGAAAACAGTGAACCAGTGTAGGTGGAGGCTTGAAGGGTTGTCTCTAAAAACAAAATGGTGGCAGGACTTCAGTTTGCAAAGCTGCAACAAATATAGCTCTGGGACAATGTCTACTGGACAGATAAGACCAAAGTAGAGATCTGTGACCATAATGCAGAGAACCATATTTGGAGAAAACCAAACCCAGCCGATCGCCACAAACACCTTCTGCAGTAAAGCACGGCAGTGGATAGGTAGTGATTCGGACTGTTTTTTTGGAGCTGCAGGAATCAGGACTTTGATCAATCAAGACTGACAGTTTCTGACAGAATCTTTTCTGTGTTTTTGTTCACCTAACCTCAAAACGTTGATAAAATCTCTCCATGACGCAAATTTTTGAAGCGATTCTGGTTCTTCGGAGCATTTTCACGTTTCCATGAAGGTTGTGTACGAGATACAAAATTCCTGGGTGAGTCCTTAGAAACAATCGTCACTTAACTCCCAGGAAGAGTTTTTGAGCCATGAATGAAAGTCAAGTTCAAACAAATCCTGAAGACCCGAAGCCAAAAAAAGTGACACTGCCTATGGTTCAGTAGGGGCGGAGCCTAAGTTCACAGGAGAATAGAGAGGGGGCGGAGCTACAACTGGCAGAGCCACTGAGCCTGGCAGCATGACCCAGCTCCACTGCGGGCAGATCAGAGACAGGATGAGAAGTTTCCTGATGGAGGATAATGTATCCCAGACCTCAGGACAAACACATAGAGAAGCTGAGAGGTGAGTCGACTTCCTGTTAGGCTCTCTTTGGTTCAGCTTTAATCCATGCTTTTTGTTTCTGAGAGCCTCAATCTGCAGTTGCAAACAGAACCAGCAGGAAGTCTGGACTTTGAACCAGGCTAGGAGGGATTTACTGTTTTATAGAGCGAAAACTGAGACAAACTAAATGATGAGCTGCTGTAGGTTTGCTTCATCGCATGACACACAACATCGTAAGATAATTGAAATATAAAGTACGGAGTCACAGATGGAGAGGCTTATCTTCTCAGAAGCTGTTCGGTGTGAAGTTCTGATCGGTTTGAGTGAAAATGTGAGGTTCCTGTTTGGGTTTCTTGGGTTAAAACCACATGGAGATGTTCAGTCAGCTCTTACCATTTGATGAAAATGGGAATCATTTGCTTCTGTGTTTATACAATATGGGAGGAGTTCTTCCTGTTGGTCTGCAGCTCCATCCACCCAGGCAGACAGAGATCCCGGTCATAACAGGATTTTTCTGCAGCTCGGTTAAGAAAAACTCCACTTTACACTTTGATTTTCTCCATTAACATGAATAATGAACTCATGTTAAACACAGAAACACCACATGTGTGTTTGCTCAATTTCCTGTTTATGGAGATTAAATATCAGCTTTTTTAGAACCAAAACATTTCAAACGGACAATTTAAACATTTAATCAGGTTTGGTTCAGAGCAGTTGATTAGAGTTTCAGCAGAGCCGCTCAGAGTAGATTAAAACTGTCATGATTTATACAGGGACAGAAATGATATCCCACAGTAACACCAACGGTTGTTGGCATACACTGCTAATCCACCTCCTTTGCTTTTGCCGCTCTTTTTTAAATCTCTGTTTGCCCGTCTGGTGAGAAAGATGTTGGAGTACAGGATACTATACTCCAACATCCATCACAATGGGCAACATTGTGATGGATGAGTTGAATGTTCTTCTCCTCTCTCTGCGCGTTGGGCCTTGGGGTCGTAGTTAATTTAAGCTTTTGAGATACTAATCAGTTGTTCCCAGTTAAATACATTAATGCCATGGTTATGCATCATAGTGACCATTCAAAAGCAAAAGTCTACAGAAACAATTGAAGCAACAAGCTGCCACCACTATTCTAGGAACAGCTGATGTTCCCAAACCTGCTTCAACTTATGTTGGGGTTTCATGTTGCATACGGGGAGACCTACTGGAAGAACTGGGAGATAACAGTGGACTCTATAAAAACCTGAAGGGCAAAGAGAGTCAAACTAAACTAGGCTGACCGGGTTCACCTGAGAGAGAGGCAGATTCTTATGTTGACATTTTCAGTCAGGATTGGTTTGTCATGGAGAAACCAGGGTTCCTTCACTGATGTCTGAGGAAAACCCAGGAGGGAACAACCAGGGAAACTGGAATATTTTTAATGAAACCTTTGGATGAAACCAGATCTCAGGATTGGCTGTGGGTCAGTGGGAAGAGTAGTTTTCTTGTATTCCTGAAGCTGTGGGTTTGATTCCATCTTTTTTTTCACTTCACATAGCCTTGCAGTTGTGAACTGGTCTGTGTATTGTTTATGAATGTGTGGCCTTTTTAAGTTGGGCTGTGTGAATAAAGCTCCGGTTGGTCAGTCGGACATTGTAGGCCAACATATTTACAACTTAAACGTGGGATTCAACAGAACGAGAAGATTCCTGTTGATAAGCAATGATTAAAATCTGTTCATTTTATCCTCAGAAAATGGGAAGGTGTTTGAGGAAGATTGGTTCAATGCAAACTGGTTCTGGTTGAGAGATCAGAATGAAAATCCCTGAACCGTTGGGACCACAGCTTCGTCAATGAGTCAAGTCAAGTTTGTTTATATATCACACCTCGTCAGTTTGTTTCCTGCTTTTCCTCTTCCAGCCGCTGTCATCTACATATGCTAATTGAACTCAGACCTGGTTTTGTTGGTGGACCAGAGTTAATTTTTTTGGTCTGCATCAGAGTTCAGTTACTCATTCACATCTCCACAAACGAACTGGACTTTCTAGACAAATGGACTGAAGTTCAATTAAGCGGACTAAACAGGGCTGGTGTGACTGCATCCTAAAATTAAGTACCAGGGATTTTAAGGGAAATTCATCGGTCGGTCTCCCAAAACTCATTGACGTTATGGTGGGATTCCTAAACACATATGGCGGCGCAGTGTGTCTTTAAATCAAAAATGTAAACTCTTTTCTCTCTCTCTCTGTAGGACCGAAACTCGCTCAACCCTAGTTCACCCATCTACGCCAACGTCTGCTCCCTCAAGAAAACGTCTACTCCTCAGATCTCCATCTCCACCCCGACTAGCGTAGACCCTGACCAATCGGAAGCAGGCCACGCCCTCTCATCGCCAAGCCCCGCCTCTCCTCTCAGCCCACAAGACGAATGGCAGGTGAGATGACCTCCGAATCCAGGTGTGATAAAGAGAAATAACTGCTGGTAAAAGAAGCTGCTGGTGGAAATGGAAAAATGGTAAAAGTAGTGGATTTAAAGCAAAATCATCTGATTAAACTTTGAAGCTTTTTGTTTTGAACACAGCTTGAGTTTAAGCCTCCTCTGCTCTGAGTTCATGTTACACGGAAATAATTAATGTTTGTTCAGATGTTACCTGAGATTATCAGGTTTCCTCGGAAGGGATCAGGTGTTAATAAGGAATAGCTAAAGTTGTGATGCTTTGCTCAAAGACACTTCAGTAATGAGACTTACTAGCCACTCTGTCAGACTAGTTTATCCAGGAACTCCCCACATTTACAAAATAACGTGAAATTTGGTGTCAGTCAACTGGTACAGAAATTTTTGCTCCACAACATAAAAGCTTTTTATTTTTATTATATAAGTTGTTCTCTTGTTCTTTTTTAATTTTAGAAATGATAATGACTCAAATGAAAAATTTTATCTACATTTCTAAATGTTTAAATGTATATTTTTACAGTTTTGGTTGAATTACCTCCCTGAATGTTGTTGTTTTTTTTAAAGCAAATTGCTTTTTTAAAAATCTAATCCACAATTAATCAATTACTAAATTAGTTGATAATTATTTCAATAATCGGTTAATCACAATTAATTTGATTAATTGTTTCAGCACTAATTAATACAAAAGGAATAAATGTTAATAATTTTGTGACATTCTGAATATTAAAGTGTAGAATGATGGTATGTATCCCTGTCTGCTCAGGTTCACACTGATCAGGAAAGTGGCAGGAGGTTTTTTTACCACCCTCTCACCAGACAGACCACCTGGTCGGACCACCGAGGCCAAACGCCGGCCGGAGACATGGATCTGTCCAGTCCGCTCTCTCCGGCCTCCTCTCAGGTACCACAGCTCCTCCCTCAATGGTAACAGCGGATGATTCTGGTGTCTGACCCGGTTCTTCTTCCTCTCAGGGTTCCTGTGAGTGGGAGGAGCTGATGGACAACGCATCGGGGCGGGTCTACTACCACAACCATAAAACAGGAACCACGTCCTGGGCTCTCCCTGACCCAACATCTCCATTATCTCCTGCTGGATCCACAGGCAACAGAAACCAGGACGACGTCGCGGTATGAGCCTGAGATTATACTGGATTACCTTAGTTTAAGATCAGCTGGCATGAGCAGTTTATCTTTTCAACAGGGTGTTTTATAAGGGTCAATTATGCAAAATTCACATTTTGCACTTTTTGTTCTTCCATTTTGGGTCTGAACTGCCCCTGAAAAATGCCACACAGTTGTTGTTTGGCAATAAATTCATGTTTTTGGGAAAATGAACCACTTTAAATACCGTCAGAATGTTACGTCATAAATCAGGAGGCACTTCTTCTCACCTAGCAACCCAAGCCCATTACCTAGCAACCTCAGCAGAGTTCCACCTGTCACCTAGCAACCCCAGTGGAGCTCCAGGATGTTTGTGTGCTCTGTACAATGGCTGCTGGAAAAGACAAGTGTTTTGTTGTTGACTTACCATCCAGAAACCACTTGCTGCATTCTAGTTGATTGTGCAGGAGGCTCCACTTCTGCTTTTCAAAGATGTACAGATGTATAATTGCTCATCTGTTTGCAGCCATTTTTATGTGGGAGTGTAAAAGTTGAGTTGGGGGGCCTGGCCAGCAGCAGCTTATTTGGATTTAAAGTGACAAGAGAATCCTAAAACAAGTCAAGCTGATCAGGATAAAATCTCATAATCTACAAATGCTTTTGTGCAAAAAATTTAATAAACATGTTTTGTGTGGACCACAGATGTATCTCAACCTGTTCAAGAAAGCATAATAGAGCACCATTAACAATTATTTGTTTACTGTTTGGAAGCCTCCTCTACCAAAGCCAGATTATCCCGTGGACAGACACAATAACAATGGAGACTCTGTCTGTACGGTATGGAAGAATCTCAGAGTTTCCCAGTATTCCCTGCCTTTCTCTGGTTTGACCTCCAGTTTGTGTTCCCAGCAGCTCCTGCAGATTCCCAGAGCCCAGCTGGACGGCCAGCAGAAGCAGCAGGAGGTGAGCGGTCACATCACAGGAACATCAATCCTGTCTTCCCTAGAACCTGCTGAGATCAGGTGGTTTTATTGTGTTGCAGCAGAGGCTGATGGGTAATGGAGTCCCTGCGGAGGAAGGAGCTGCACAAGTCAGGATCATGAGACACAGTATCGGTGAAGATGTGAGTGAAACATGTTGATCCAGAACGGCTCTAAGGCGTTCTTCCCTAACATTGCCGCTGTGTTCCAGGTGTTTTCCCCGGGACACAGAAGGATATCCTCGGACCTTACGGATGCCGTTAGGAAGCATTTGCCAGACAGTCCTCAGGTACAGACTCACCTGTCTCAGTTCCCTAACCCTATTAGGCCCTGACACACCTGTTTTTTGATCTTCTGAACCATTTCATCAGATTTTTCTTGACTTGTTTATTCATGTAACGGTTTGTTAAACCATTCATTGACTCATTGACTAAGGCATACATTAATTTCCAGACTTCCTCATGTGTTGACTGACTTCCTGCTTTGTTCAGTCATCCATCGACTCATCCCATTATTTCCTCCTTCCAGTTTCCTAGTAGGCTCAAGCTGAGGAGGAACCTGTCCCACAGCACAGGCAAACCCCAGCACCATGTAGGTTCTGAGAGGCTGGTGGAAGTTCAAGGCGCTGTTGCTAAATGTACTAACATTTTGTTCTAACATCTCTTTTTTTTTCTTTTTTACCAGAAGGGAACTTTTTGGGCAGCTTAGACGTCCTAGCGCCTCCTGCTGTGTAAACGCAGTACCGTGGCTTTAATCTAAAATATTTTTAACCAAAGAAGTTTGTCCCAAATTTCTTCTGGAAATTTTCATTTTTGGTAGTAAGACTTTTGCCCAGAAAGTTTCTGAGTGTTATCCCACTAATCCCACTAACCACTCATCAGTAACCATTCATCCTGTCAGCTAACAATTCTGAACTGCTGGATTTGTTCTGATGTTGGTTCTACTCTTGGTTCTGGAGGGTTTGTTTGTTTTCTCTAGTCAGGTTCTGTTTCATTCAGCAGTTTGGTCCAAACTGAAGAACAAAAACTACTTGTACCATCAGAACTCTGGTTCACCCTGAGAGATCTCCAACATGTCACTCACCATCCAACATGTCACTCACCATCCAACATGTCACTCAACATCCAACATGTCACTCACCATCCAACATGTCACTCACCATCCAACATGTCACTCAACATCCAACATGTCACTCACCATCCAACATGTCACTCAACATCCAACATGTCACTCAACATCCAACATGTCCATCAGTATCCAACATTTTAATCAATATCCAATATATCCAACATCCAGCATGTTATTCAACACATTTTCATCAGCATCCAACGTCCCTCACCATATTTGAACATGTTCATCAAAATCCAACGTATCTCAGTATCCAAAAAGTATGTCAACATCCAACATGTCCTTCAGCATCCAACATGTCACTCAGCATCCAACATTTCAATCTGCATCCAACCTGTCCTTCACCATCCAAAATGTCACTCAACATCCAGCATGTCAATCAAAGTGTTTGATCACATTCCTCAGCATCCAACATTTGTAGAAATATCCAACATCTCCCTCAACATTCCACATGTCCCTTCACATCCAGGTGCCAATCAACATGTTTGACTGCGTCCCTCAACATCCATCATTTTAAGCATTGTTCACCAACCTTCCACATGTCCCTCAACATCCAACATGTCCAGCAAGACCCACCATATCCATGACATTCGCTAGCGTCCAAAACATTGCAGAACATGAAGATTACACCGATTATTATGATTATTATTATGTAAAATTAAAAGATTATTATGTAAAATTAAATTTAAATGTCATAAAGATAAACATTTTTTGTTGTGCTATCAAATTTACAGATGGTATTGTCTGTTGGGGCTCTTTAAATCACTATAATTCATTTCAGAGAACTGGGTTGATTAGTTTGTCTGGTGAGCTCAATTAAAGGAAATTACTTAAGAAGGATGTTCCACATTATTCAGCAGGCCACAGGTTTCAAGCAATATGGGAAAGAAACCTTGGTGTAAATTTTAAATCAGTCAGAGGTTTTGTCCCCTTCAGAGCTGCTTTTCCTCCAGCAGCTGTAAAGACTTGGAAGTCTGACACTTTGAAACTCCTACATAGATGTTCCCTAACGACTGAGCTTCTGATTCACAGAAACCTCTCTGTAATTTAGCTGTTTTCCTTATTCTACTTTTGTTTTGCCTAAAGCACAACATTTAAATCCTGAAGGCCCTTTTCAATCGGATCACCTCAGGCGGCAATAAATCCCACAGCATTCATCTCTAGCACCAACCTAGACTGGTTTTGCTCACTGTTAAGCTATATTAAACTTTTTTAAAGGTGAGGCTCTGATAAATGTTCAGAATTAGTGTTAATAAAGTAAATTTGGATCAAATCTTTTGCTTTGAAGTTGTTCTAAATTTCTGAATCAGTGGGAAAATTATACCAGAAGGGAGCAGACTGCTGAATGAAGGGACTGAGGTGGATAAAAGCCCTCAGGTATACTCAGGTAGACTCTCACTCTCCACTCCCTTGTTTACTAAGGAGTCGCATTTCAAAGCTGACCTGAGAAACATGAGAACTCACCTCTTTTTCTCTGTCTCTTCAGTGCCATCTGCTGGAAAAGGCAGGAATTGTTAATAAGACCAAATTGGTTGATCATGGCAAAAAGATGAGGTGAGATCCAGAAACTTCAGTTTTGATTCTGCCTCAGTTTGACTGACTATGTACAGGAATTTGTTTGAGTGATGTTTGAACTCAGAGATGATTGTTTTCCATATTTGACATTTCTTTTGAACAGGAAGAACTGGACTCAGTCCTGGACAGTCCTTCATGGTGGGATTCTTACTTTTCACAAAGATCCCAAATCTGCCCCAGCTGGAAACACTGTAAGAACCATCCTGACTATTCTGATCCATCCATCCTTTCTTGTAACTTCTCTGTATAAGAAATGCAACTTGATTTCATAAGTCTGCACCATAAGTTCTGGAGGCTTTATTAAGGCTGTTTGGAGTTTTCTTTAGACTTTATTAGGCCATTTTCAGTCCAGCAATGCCTCATTTAAATTGAGGAGCATGGGTCAATTGGATTGCTATTTTGTGCGCCATTTTGTCTTTCCATTGTAAGATTGGCCCATTCAACCAACTTGTCCCACACCGTTCAGTTGTAGGACCGAAAGACAATGGTATGGTATGGTTGGGTATGGATCAACTGGCGTCACACAACCCAATCCAATGATTGGGGGACAGAAAAATGTCACTGCTTGAATCATATGTGTTGTCGTGCCAGAATGACACAGTGTTAGGTGTTTGGGTTTATAACTCCACCAACTCAGTGAGCGTCCAACTGGCGGTGACGTACCAGTCAGTGTAAATGGGGCATAACTAACAATCAAACATGGCTTTAGCTCTCAGACAAGCAAGGAAAAGTACAATAAAACAAACTAAAATCTAATCTTATCTTTAACAAACTGAACCATGTAAAGATTGGACTTGGCATCTGAGATTTGCATCATTCTTTGATCATATAAAAGTTAGACGTCAAGCTTAAACTTTATTAGACTTAAGATTTGGGAACTATTATTTACCTGAATGTTGCATTGGTTTAACCTAAACGTCTTAAATTAAAAAACTGAAACTGGATCTGGGCTGTAGGTAAGTCAGAAGAACAACTCCACAGAGACTTTCAAGAGGAACCTGGAGATCTGATCCAGATCAGATAAAATGATTTGGAAGATGAGTTTCTTCTATTACAGTTTTAGTGCCAACCAGATGCAGATATCCCGTCAAGCTGATGACATATCCAGAGGACTGAATTCGAGCAGAGATGATAGGTTTAGTGACGATCGGGTGGATTTCTACTTTTCTCTCAGAACAAAGCATCGCAGATTGTTCCAGAGTACACTGTGGACCTGAAAGGAGCGTCGGTCCAATGGGCCGCCAAAGACAAGTCCTCCAAAAAGTTTGTTCTGGAGGTAGGCCACAGCAGCATCTCTGTTGCCACAGTTAGAGATCAATGGGCTTGGGGTAACTGTGTCATGTGTCTGTTTGTGCAGCTGAAGACTCGTCAGGGCTGCGAGTATCTGATCCAGTACGACACGGAGAGCATCATCTCGGACTGGTACAAAGTCATCCAGGAAACCATCCAGCAGCTGACACCTCATCAGCTGGTACAGCAACACACCCCACAGCCAAACTCACCCGTCCTGTCGGCAGACCAGCTCCACTTTAAAGTCAGTTCTAGTTTTACTGGATCTGCCAGCAGCTTCTGGTACCGTCCATGATGCCTCAACACACCACTTAGAAGAACAGGCTGGGATCTCTATGTGGTTTTAAGCGCCTCACCTTGTCTTGATCCAACCGGGGGTTTTACAGGACGAGCTTTCCTTACCTGTGGTGTTCCTCAAGAGCCCACACTTGGACCTGTCCTTTTCTCTTTCTCTGTACTTTTCTTAGGCTTCATCATTCAGGAATTCAGCTGTTTGTTCTAAGCTGGTTCTCACTGTACGATTCTTGGCCCATTTTAAGCCATTTTTCTAGTAGTGCAATTCGTTTTGGGATCTAATTTGGAATTAATTGTATATCGTACATGAAGTTTTACACAGGTCATTACAGGTGTTTGGTAACAAAAAGAAATGAAAGTCTCTCACATATTTGACTTTACTGAAAATATCACTTAGAGTTTTATTGTTATACTGATGATCCACTGATGTAACGTTCCAATCCGCCATCACTAGATTAAAGCTGCAGGACTAAGTAACTTCACTCCTGTGGTTCTTGCATTAATTTTTACTTTTTGCTTTGCAACTTCTTTCAGGAACCGGAGCATCTAAGCGATGATGAGGATGACTCAGACAGAGAGGACAGGAAGAGGGGATGTGAGTCTTCCAGACACTACCTATTATGTTGAAATAAATCCAACTGCCGGATATAATTCAGATATGGTGGTTCCTTCAAAATAAGAGCTTCTTTATGTAGCTGGCAGTTTCTACCAAAGTTGAGTCTCATGTTATTTTTTCAGCCACCAGAAGTAATGCAGGACCGGACTCAGAGCAGAGCCGGATCCGGAGCAAACTGAGACGCTTCCTGCAGAGGAGACCGACGCTGCAGAGCGTCAAAGAGAAGGGATACATCCGAGGTACGGAACGGACCAGAACCCCGACCCAGTTATGATCAGTTCAACAGGAACATCAGGGAACTTATTGCTCTTCCAGATATATTCATATGCTTCTTCTGATGGAAACACCAGGAAGCTTCAGGATTTTTCCTGGTCCTGTTGCTCTTCATTTTAGTGTTAAAATACTGTAAACATTTATGTTAACGCATTTGATTCATAAAATGTTTATTTTGCGTTCTGAATGAGTGATTTTTCCTGCAGACAACGTGTTTGGCTGCCACCTGGATGTTCTCTGTCACAGGGAAAACTCCACTATTCCCAAGTTTGTGGAGAAATGCATCAAAACGGTGGAGAGGAGAGGTGATTAATTATAAACTTTCCAAAAACAAAAATATTCCCTCTTGGACTGGATAGTTACACACAATTTTAGAGTTTAAAATTTGTTCCTGGTGAAAAGTAAGTTCTAGAAATCTGTTACCTTCCCAACCTGATCACAACTGTTTCCCTACAGTTAAAAATAACCAATTCAGCTATAATCAGTGTGGAAATATAGAATCAATAGAAGTAATTTCAGAAAGCTGAAGTTTGTTCTGAAAAACAGCATAAAAACTGGATCCAGTTGACAAATATTCACCAATCAGGGGACAAATGTCCCCTGATTGGTGAATATTTCTGTTTTCAGACAGGTAAACATCAGGAAACTATTTTACTTTCTGTTGTACCAGGATTGGATATCAGCAATTCAATCAGGAGGATTCTGCTTAAGCAGAATGTGTTTTTATTCTGACCTTTGACCTCGACTTGTTCTCTGTCTCCTCAACATTCCCGTTCCTTCAGGTCTGGATGTTGATGGGATCTACAGAGTGAGCGGGAACCTGGCTGTGATCCAGAGACTCCGACACAAAGCCGATCACGGTAACTAGAATCCTGCTGCTTCTGTCCGACGGACCCATCAGGCTGGGACAGAACCAATGAACCCAGTTTAAACTGGAGTCCAGACCAGAACAAATATAGAGAATGATCTGCAGACGAACTTGATGCATCATCAGTACCAGGAGTTAAAGTCCAGAAGAAGCTTGGGAACACAGTTGGTTGGAGGTTGTCCATCTAACTCTGTGGTTCTGTGTCCCTGCAGAAGAACATTTGGACCTGGAGGACGGACAGTGGGAGGAAATCCACGTGATCACCGGAGCACTGAAGCTCTTCTTCAGGGAGCTTCCAGAACCATTGTTTCCCTTCTGCTCCTTTGACAAGTTCATCGCCACCATCCGTTAGTTCACACACACACACACACACACACACACCACACCACACACACACACACACACACACACACACACACACACACACACCACACACACACACACACACACACACACACACACACACACCACAATCCCAACCAGCCTCCTCATCTGTGGATGTTTGGATTTATAATGATCTCATAATTAACTGATAATTAAAAACTCATTGAGCTTTATGTTTTACCAAACATTGGTTTTTCTGAGAAAGTTGCCGATTTGCTAGAATGTTTTCTTATCCTTTCCAGTAACCAAACTCTTCATGTTTCCACAATAAAAACTGAAAAAGACCCAACTTTAAAAATTAGTTTGTAGTTTTACCTTACAAGCTGTAAGTGTTTGAGGAACAACCAGTGTCCCATTGTGTCGGATGAGTCCAAATGGACCTCTGGATCCATCTTTGTGTCTGTCCAGAACTTTCTGACTACAGCCAGAGGGTTTCTTACACGAAGGACCTGGTCCGCTCTCTGCCACTGCCGAACTACGATACCATGAAGCTGCTTTTCAAGCACCTGCGCAGGTGAGCCCAACCGCCCTGAAGCAGAACCAGAACCAGCACTCCTCCGGTTCTTACCTCCATCTCTGTGTTTTTCAGGGTCATCGAACACAAAGACTCCAATAGGATGTCGGTTCAGAGCGTCGCCATCGTGTTTGGGCCCACGCTGCTCCGGCCGCAGATGGAGTCCGCCAACATGACAGTCCATCTGGTCTTCCAGAGCCAGATCGTCGAGCTCATGCTCAACCAATTCAATGAGATCTTCGCTGAGACGTAGAAGGAGGTCCTCTGTCACCTTTCAGAACCTTCTGAGCAACATATGCTGAACTGAACAACGTCTCCAAACCTGTAGGACCTCAAGCCTGTACTCTCTATTAGGGAGAACCTTAAACCACCAAAAACTCTGGTTCTGATACTTCTGAAAGAGGTTTCTGTTGAAGAACCAAACCAAGTGGACCAAGAGTCACTTGAACCACTAAAGAGACTGACTCTATTTGAGACTCTAGCTTGGAAACTCCTGGAAACTGCACACCTCTAAAACTTTCTGAGGAATATCAGTCAAACTGCCGAGAATCCCCCTGGCAGAACCAAAGTCCAAACAGTAGAAGCCAGAATGTAGAACCTGAGTTGCATTGGAACCTGCTCTAAAGTCACTGGGATCCTTCCAGAACCTCCATGTTTCATTGATACAAGTTAACAAAGAACCTGTTTGCTTCAGAAATGCACTTGCAGCAGATAGCTGTTTTTACAGCAGGAAGCTCATACTGAAGATCTGCTTCATCAGGAGGAAGTTCTACACTTTAATGTACATAGAGCCCAATAACAGCATGAAGATCATGTGAGAAATTTGAGAATCTATATCTGGAATTTTAAAATTTCTATTGGATCAGTCAGTTCGAATCATTCCCTGACGTCAACATCAGGTTTCTGTTTATCCAGATCCAAATCACTTCAGATTTAATTTCTAAAATGTTTTTTTTTCATAAAGAATTGTCATTACTCTTCTGGTTTCAAAGGAATCATTTGATTGTTTCCAGAGTTTTAACATATCCTGGATTTGGGAGTGAAAGCCTGTAGCTCTTAAAAAGAGACAGAAGCTTCATGAAAGGTTGATAAATTTGAGGATGATGTTCTAAAAGCTCCTAGATGATTCCCTGAGGGACTCCCAAAAGTTCAGAGAACAAACTACTTTAAATGGTCAATAGGGTGGAGTCTTCCAGGAACATTTCTGCTGTACTGAGTTTTGTTATGGATCTGGTGCACATTCGCTCTTTGTTTTATACTGTTTAAATGTATCAGAGTCACAGAACAAGGTAAACACAGAATATACAGAGTTTCTGTAAATAAAAAAGAATTTTACTGAGTTTTATTAGAAATAAAAGTCATTATTAAACCAGGAATGGTTGTTGTGTCCAATTTTAAAGAGGTTTTGGATTTAAGGAGCTGTAAAGTTTCACTTAATTTTAATAATAAACACAACATGACAATGATAAATGTAGAATCTTCTCCACACATCAAATCACAGAAAATCACAATCTGAGTCTTTTACTGAAGAAATTGAACGTTCTAAATTGATAGAAGCAGAATCAGGTTTTCCAGCCTGTTCTCTGTGCTGTACTTCTTTTCAACCACCAGATGGCAGCAAAGACCACAGCAGTGGAAAACAAGCGTCGCCATGGAGACGTTTTGTTGATTCCGAGCTTGAATTCAACTGAACGCGGAGGAATCAGTTCACTGTTCTGTTTCAAAGTCTCATAGCTTCTGAATCGACCCACTTCTGTGAACCGACTGGTTCTGATTCGACCCAGACCTGGTCAGATCAGCTAAACCCGGACCCCTGATTTGAAGCTCGCACATGCGTACTAGCGTCTTCTTTAGGTTGGGGATTTGACTGTCTCTCTTTTTAAGGTAAGTTTCCATTTTTCAGCGGCGTTGTTTCGCTTCTTCTTTCATGTCTGCAAATATTAAGTAAGAAAATTATTACAAAATGAAAAGCTTTAAAACATCTCAGGTGAAATTGATGTTTTTTTCTCTTCGCTGAAGTAATTATAGATATCCTGATTCACTGGCTATGATTGTACGTTACACATTAACAAGCAATTACAGTAAATGTGAGATGTGATATAATACATGCTGTTTATTGTTACTATGTTTACATTTATACTGTTTTACATTATGACCTATTGATATAAAGTTGAATAAGCGTTGATTTAAAAACAGTTAATTGATCTTATCTGTTATGCATAAACTCCACTGTAATAGATAAAATAATAAACACTAATGTAATTTTTTTCTTCATTTTTAATTCCTGTTATATTTACAGAAATCAAATGCTTTAAAGCATGAAATGTGGTCATCCATCCACTGAACTTTCTTGCGTTTTCACATTAGTTTCTACCTGACTAACGGAGCTCCTGTATGTCCAGGTGTAGTGATGTCACAGCGCGACATCATTGATTTTTCTGCGCTGGAGAAGGAGCTCAAGGCGGCGGTGGAGTCTGAGAGAAAATACCAGCGGGAAAACCAAGCGAAGCTGAGGGCGGTGAGCCAGGGAGTGGATTACGATCAGTTCAGGTGGATCATCAGGAAGTTTTAGGTCTGGCAGAGAAGATCCAGGAGAGTCTCAGGCAGAATATCAGCAGGAATATGAAGAGTTTCTGATTTCTTAAAGATGAATGGGTCAGTTTACTCTCCTGGAAGCTTGATGGATCCCTGGAAGTATTCCTGGAATCACTTCCTGAATCTTTTCCGAGAGTTTTCTACTGAGCTTCAATGGTCTTTAAAACATCCCAGTGTTCCGTAATCCAACATGACATTTATTTAAATGAAGAGTTCTAGCTAAAATATTCCAGGATGTAAGAAAAACATTTACATTTCTATTGAGGGCTCCTTGGATTGCTTTATGAGAATATATGAGAAAGTTCCATGTTGTCCTGAAATTTTTACAGGACAACAGGAAAATTGTGCAGGATAATTTTCCAGATATTTATTGGATGAGGTCCAGTTACACCAGGATGTTCGGTGATGTCTCCTGGATCTTCCAAGCTGTAGTAATTTATACATTTTAGGCGTTTTCAGTTTAATGATGTGTGTTTCTTTCCCTCAGAGGTCTGGTTCTGACCTCTCACCTGAAGCCTCTGGACAAGAAGGACAGAGACGGAGCTCCACGGAAACAACCATGGAACCCTGTAGCTCCTGGAAACACGTGATGGACGATCACTCCAGGCGGCACGGACCAATCTCCATCCACTATAAACTCTGCTGTTCATTCAGGTTTATGAACAGTTTAGCTTCAGATGTTTTATTTTAAACATCAATTTGATTTTAATCTGTTTATTAAACACCAAGAACTCCACATGTAAGCTCACAGTTTCTAATAAACTTCTCATTTAAAAATTGCTGCAGTTCTTCAGATGTTTTTTGAAGGTTTCACAGAGATCTGGATATTTCTTCAACCATGCAGAGGAAGCCAGCAGGGGGCACTGCAGCAGTCACTTCTGGTGTTTGGTATGAATGTTTAACTCTAAGGCTCTCAGAACAGTTGAGAAAGTCAGGTGTCAGGAATCTCTGAAGGCAGTTGGGTAACTGAAGTGATTCTGGTGTTGCTTAGGACGTGAGAGTAGCTAAACAGGTTGAGGTGCTTCCCAGAGGCCTTTGGGTATCTCTCCAATTTGGTTCAGGTAACTCACAGAAAGCTCCAGGTAATTTGGGAGAATGTGTTTCTCAAAAGGATTTGCATTTCAGATATCTTTTAGTGAAGCTCTGGGTTCTTTTAGAGCGATTCAGGTCTTCAGTCTAATGGGACGATGTGTCTCTGAAGGGGTTATGCCTCCTTCATCTGACCAGGAGCATCTTTAAGGAATGTGTAGGTTTTTTTAAAGAGGTTCATGGATAGTCAAGGAAGTTTTAAATATCACTGAGGGTGATTAGAGGAAGTGAATGGAAAGAAAGTCTCTTTGATGCTTCTGATGACCCAATTTGACTTGATGAGGAACAGGAAGTGGTTTAAACTGAGCAGGTTCACACAGAGCACTAGAAACACGGGGAGGAGCACTCACTCTGACCAATTTCTGCAAGCTCATACTTGGTGCTTTGGGTCTTTCTGGTTGCTGTGAGGAGTGAGTGGTCTGTCTAACAGAGAGGATCTTTGGCTGCAGCAGTAGAGGAAACTTGGAGCTGCAGAGTGAAGTTTGTCAGAAACAGGAGGATCTTCATCACTTCATCACTCTGTTTCCCTCTGGCTTCTGGTGAGTCTCTGATCAATTACAGCTTCAAAAATAACAGAAGATCTGGCAAAGAACCTCCTTCTGGTTCTGTTGGACTCTGTAAAGATAATTGCATGTTGAGTTAGAAACAGTGACAGCAGATGAGATTATTTTTGACCAGTTTAACTTATTCTGCAGGAAAGTTACTTGTATTTGTGTAAGAAGCCTAAATAACCAGTTTTAAACTCAGATCACCTTTTGAAGAGCTAAAATAAGTCTGAAAATGAAGTAAATGAGGTGGCAGAGTGTTGCCGCATAAAGACAGCAGACTCGGTTCTCAGACAGGCTTCTGGGTGAAGTAGTTCCTGAATCTGGTCAAATCAGCAGCAAGTGTTCTTCAAACAGAAACAGACTTAACCGACGCTGGTAATAGAGGCTGTCTAACAATCAGCTGGTTCTGCTGGTTCCCTCCTCTCTGAGGCTTGAAACCCAGCTGGACTTTTCCAGCACCCATTGAGCTGTGGTTCTGAGTGGGTTCATTCTGTCTCTGTCTCCCTGCAGATCAAACCAGTTGATTTCTGTGGACTATCAACTCCGAGATCATGAAGGACCAAAACTATAAGGATGAGGTGACCAAGATTCTGGAGGAAGCTCCAGGCGCCAGGAAAGCTCTGCAGGAAAACTATCAAAACCTGCTCAACGTGGCCGATTACTGTTACAACACCTACACCCAGGTTGGTACCGCTACTGCCACCTTTAAAGCTTCAGAACATCTAAATACCGCCTGCTGAAACCAACCAGTCTAATATTTCTCTGGTGTTTCTAACAGTCAGGTGAAAACAGCAAGAAGGCATTGGAAGAAACTAAAAACTTTGCCACCCAGTCATTAGCCAGTGTTGCATATCAGATCAGCACTCTGGCTAACAGCGTCCTGAGTCTGCTAGACGCTCAGACAAATCAGCTTCGCCAGATGGAGTCCTCCATAAATCTGATTGGTCAGGTGAGTATAAACCTCTCAATTAAAACACATTATATTTACCAGGGTAGACAGGTAGATAAAAGATATTTTGAAAATGTTCTTGAAATGTTCTCACTAAGGGCTTCAGTAGAAGGACTCTGTTCCTCCGGTTGGACTGATTGAAGTTGGAATGAAGTTCAGGGTCCTCCCAGTCGTGAGGCTGTTTACAGGGACAGCCTGAGCAACCAGGGTCTGAATGGATGGATGAATGGAGTCTCTGTTTGCTGCTTCCTTATTGTTTTCTGATCTGCTCAACGCTCTGCTGTGATTTAAGGATCTGTCCAGAAGCATCCATGATCCAGACCTGGACCGCTCTGTGAATGATGGTGTTAAACATCAGGGGGTGCTTTGGAAAGATCAGTGAATGGGGCGAAAACCCCTCTGAAGATATTGTCTTCTCAAAAGTTCACATAAATCTGATCATTTTCTTTTTGTTGTCCTTAGATTTTGGTCTGCAACACCCAGCTGGATCTTTCTGATGATTGTTTATCTTAAACTGAAAGTTAGTCTCTTGTTCAGACTCTTAGCAAAATATTTTCCTGACCGGTTACAACCTCTTCACTCTTGTCTAACTTCTTTTTTATGACCTTTTTAAAGAAAAATCTGAAAAATGTATTGCCTTCTGTCAGTTTATGTTAGGAAACATCATTATGCATAACCTTTGCCATAAGCTGAGGCTTAACCTTGAGGTTAGGTCACAAGGTTGGCCAAGAGACAAGTTTCAAGGTTAGCTTACTCTAGTCTTGGTATCAATGTTCCTATAGTCCAATTCAGTGAATGACTGTTAGTCTGAACCTCCCACCCTTACCATGAGGCAAATTTGACAAGTTACACCTAACATAGGACGAAGCCCTGCATCAAGCCACTTCCTGGATCAGTGGAGTACTTCCTGTTCGGTTAGTGGTCTCTTTGCCTCAGTTGGAAGAGGTCCTAGGGAGATCTGGATTCACTAATTCATCCAGTGTTGAGAAATGGATCATGATTACAGAACTCCTGGGATGAGTTGGATGACCTTCTGGTTTAGGATACCTGGGTTATGCCTCATAAGGGGTTGACCTTGGGGGGACCTTGGATTACAACTCCTCTGCATCAAAACGAGTCACTTAAAGTGACTCATTTTGTGAAATGAGCCACAAAATGATCAGGTTCCCTCCTTTTGGAGGTAATGAGAAGACCTGAGTGGAGACTCTCAGGAGGGATTATTCCCCTTCTGACCTGGGAAAACATTGGCAAGTCTGGGTTGGCTGTCTAACAACCAGTCCTGGATGCCATGGCATCCAGGACTGCTAACCTCTAGGATCCTTCATGATCTTGACTGGGAAGGACAAATGTGTTGTCATTAATTGTCTGATAAAATATCAACTGACTGGAGGGAAGGTATCTTTTGCTGTGACCTCTTTTGTTGTGACTGCTTCCTTAAAACGAAGGTCAGACTAAACTTCCTCATGAAGTTTGATTACTTCAGCTTTTCAAAGTCATGTCTGCGTTTAGTCAAACTTTGAAGGAAAAGTTCAAGACTTTCTCTCCAGACTTTCTCTCGTTATGTTTGTAGTTCAGAATATTTTCACACTCTCTAATTGTTTTCCACAGACCATAGAAATGCATAAAGAGAAAGTTGCACGGAGGGAAATCGGTGCCTTCACGGCAGTCAGACGAGTTCCTCGCAACCATAAGATCATCCCTCCAACTGGCACACAGCCCCGCCTATCGTACAGCCGCCGACCAATCAACTACCAGCAGCTAGACGACATCGGCCATGGCATAAAGGTAGCACTCACCTTCAGTTTAATGTTTTTATTTGACCTTTGGCAGCTCTTCTCGAGTAGGTTAGCTTAAATCTTATTGCCTTGGATGAAAAGCTATAGAGCAGGAGGGTTAGTCCAGTTTAGGCTGGTTGATGGGAGTCAGCATTCTGGTTATTAAAAGATACACAAAGCAACATTTACACCCAAAAAGAAACAGCAGAGAGCAGAAGTGAAGCATTGTTAGCTGCGAACGGCAAGCTAACAGGAAGTCTCTTCTGCACAGAACCACAGAAGCAGAATTAATGCTGCAAAAAGTTTCCTTTTCAGACTCCAAGTGACACTACTTCTCTTTTCAGATTTATCAGTTCTCATTTGAAAATTAACAAACAGTGTCAAAACAATGTAGCAGCAAAACTGATACAGCTTAAACATCTCAGTAAAGATCCACCTGTAAATTTTCTTCCAGTGGACCTGAGTAAAAACAGTTTTCATAAAATTAAGCCAAGAAAAATTTGCATCAGATGAATAATATTTTCTCAAGGAGATTGTCTGAAAGACCTGACCCAGGACCTTTGGTGGCTTTTCTTTATGTATCAGTTCAGTTCCAAAACTTTGAAACCAACCATTCAGGAGCATCATTGTTCTGCTACTAACTTTGAGCTATTTACCTTAAACTCAAATCTTTGCTTTGCGTAGTTCTAGGCCACCCTCACCCATTAAAACTGCCACATTTCTAAAGACAAAAGCAAAGTGAGAAACAAGGATTCTCAATGTTAATCTGAGAAGAAAGAGACAAGCAAAAGAAGATATTACAAAATATTTTAAAACTCAAATTAAACGTATTTTAAATCTTCTTTAATTTTTTTCTGAAATCAGTTGAGATCAAAACTGAAATGTAAGCTTCTATATTGGATTGTAGGGGTGACACTGCAAAAACACAACAAGTTATCAATTCTTTTTCACTTCCTTTTAGTGCGAAAAGCTTATTGCACTAAAAGGAAGTGCAATTATTGCACAAAATATATTTTCTTTTAAAGGCAATAATTACTTAATATTGATGAAATAGTACTAGTTCTGCTGACTTATTAATTTACTTGCAACATTAGAAAAATGTTGCACATTATGAGGCTAAGTTTTAAAGATGGATGAATTTTCTTTGCAGTTCACAACAAAAAAAGGACAAAGCTCTTAACCCCCATCACCCCCTCAGACACACACACACACACACACACACACACACACACACACACACACACACACACACACACACACACACACACACACACACACATATGCATGGTTGTGTATCTTCAATAAACCCCCTGCTCTTTGGGGACACCAACCTAGACTCTGACTAATTCTGATTAATTTAGCAGAAAAACACACTCAGACAGCCCTGTTAGCACCAACATCCACCTCTACACAGCGTCTGTCCCTGTGATGTCCACGGGGTCTGAATGTCCCGCCGGACTTCACACACACACACACACACACACACACACACACACACACACACACACACACACACACCACACACACACACACACACACACACACACACACACACACCCTGAGCTGAGGCTCTTTGTTGGCCGTGGGAAAATGTTTGGAGAGACTAATTAGAGCTGCTGAAAGCTAAGGGCTCCATTCATGTTCACCCTGCTCTGTGTTTGCCCCCTCGTCCCTGCAGGTCTCTGGGAAACAGCCGGAGAAAACGGGAACAATCCGGAAACACGGAGCCTCCATCAGGTCTGCTTCTCCTCCTCTGCTGAGCTTCTGTACTCAGCAGTTTCTTGTTTTCGCAGCAAAGACTCACACAGGAAGTCTGACTGCAGTTTCATGTGTGTCTGTTTCAGGTCCAACAAAGCCCCTGAGCCAGTTCAGTGCCCTGTGGCTCCCCCTGCTGGAGGGTAAGAGCCAGGTTCATGTCTCAGCCGAATGAGGCCTGCGTAGCTTAGAAAATTGTTTCACTTAATTTTTAATTTCAAAACTAATAAATCTCCTTTGTTTGGTATGCAAAAGAAAATAACAAAATAATTATCATTAAATAAGTCTGATCTTTTGGTGATAATGCTGATTTTTTTCAAATATAAAGACAATTGCAGGTCTTCAAGCTTTTTAATTTTTTTTTTCTAATAATTAAATTTGATAGTATAACTTTCTCAGAAATTGCAGTCGGATAATAAATTAAATTGGCATAGAAATATTTTTATAAAAACATGCTTTCTGGGAAATTCATAACCATTGTATCCGTCTTTAGGTCAGACCAAAATTTTATTTCAACATGTAAGAGAGACATTTTTTTATTTTCTCCTCATATTTTTAAGATCTTCAGCCAAAATTTAGATTATTTGGGTCTGAATTCCATGTAGTTAAATCCCCACAATTTGGGACGTTAGGATGAAAAAAATCATGAAAACAAACATGTTTTATTGAATTATTAGAGCAAAATTGCCATTAAAATAAAGAAACAAGAATGACCCAATCAGTGATCCTTGAGGTATTCCACAAGTTATATCTCATCACCTTCCTGGCTCTAAGTCAATGCTTTTTTGTTTGGTTGTTTTTTTTTGTTTTTTGTTTTGCTAAAACAGAGATGGTGGTTTTGACAAAATCACATTAGACAAAATAAATAAATAAAATCTACTTATGCTACTATTGTAGGAAGGTAATGATTCCTAAATGCAGATTTCCCAGATCTCAGTTTCCTTCTTGTGGCTATGATTGATGGCTGATCAATTAATCAGTCATCATTTTCATCTGACTCGGTTATTTAATCATCATGATTCTCCCTCTAAGGTCCAGCTTTGGGAAACCTGTAGCTCCGCCCACTATCCCCCCCATTGGCCAGGCTCCACCTGACTGTGACATCCTCACCAGTTTGCTGGATGAAGCTCCACTTCCTCCTCCTCTCCCTGATGAGGCTTCGCCTCAGAGTGGGGGCGTCATCTCCGGCCTGCCCCCTCCTCCTCCGCCTCCTGATTCCTCAGGAGTGATGGTGGCTCCAACAGCTCCTCCTCCTCCTCCTCCTCCTGGCTCCTCAGGGGTTGTGATCAGTCAAAGTGCTCCACCTCCTCCTCCAGCACCTCCTCTGCCTCCTTCTTCTGGGGTTGTGATCAATAACAGTGCTCCTGATCCTCCTCCAATCGCACCGCTCACCCTGGAAACAGGTGATAAAATCAGAACGTGTTCTCACGACAAACTGAATCATCAAAGCCAAAATTTAAATGTAAACACAACCCATATTATGCCAAACAAACACAATAGGGATTGCTGTTGTATTTTACTCATTTCTTATCAGACGTCATAATTGTTTTTTTTCTGGCCATTTCTCCATTTCTGTTATAAATGGAGAACCCTAACCCCTAACCCTAACCCCTGACCCCTGACCCTAACCCCAACCCTAAAATAATGTTTCAACCATGTTGGTATCTTCTTAAATGTCATATTTTAAAATTAGATATTTAATGAGCAAGCTAAATTTTTGAATTGCAATGTAAATGATTATCTCACAACTAAATCTTTAGTTTACAAACTAAATATTTCACACTGATATAAATATTTAGTTAGCAAGCTAAACATTAAACTTCAAACTAAATACTTAGCTCCAGAAAGACTTTTTTTTTGCCAAATACACAAACTAATTTCTCTGCTCTTACAGTAATTGGAAACATTTGCAGATTTCAGTGTGAGGCCTCATGTCTGTGTTTCTGACAAAAGAGTGGTGCTGTGGGCTCTCCATCAGTTACCATAGCAACCAGTGGCTCACTCTAACATTCAACTCTGACTACCTATGCTACTGATTTTACTTAAATTCACGTTTGTGTTTTATGTATTCTGTACTTTGACGCCCCCTGCAGGTTTAAAATATTGTTTTATTCAAATTAATTAAATCTCAAAATAATCAGGGTTTTGCATTGTAATCATACCGATTCCGGTATTGCAAGAAATTAATGCTAATATTACTCTCAAGTAATTGTTAAAAATAAATTATTCTAATCCTGATTTTATTAATTTGGTTATTATTTTATGAAATAACTGAGCATCTTCATCTGATCTAAGCTGATTTTTGTCTTTGTGGATTAAACAAAAAGAAGTCCTGTGACATCATAATGACATCATCTCTATTGTCTTTCCTCAGTGGTGGAGGAGAACAGCGTGCCACCTTCTCCCCCTCCCCCTCCCTCTGATAATGATGGCTTCCCGCCATTACCCAATGACGGCTCAGATTTTCTGGCCCCGCCCCCACCGCCTCCACCTCCCCAGGAAGGAGACGGTAATACCATATTTTAGTTGGATCAACTTTTAGAATTTTTTTTGGGTCCATCATAAACAGCAATCAGACAGGAAGTGGGGAAGACAATCAGCAAAGTGGGGAATCGAACCCCCGACTCGTCATTCCTCAGTTGTTTCACTTTCTGTTTCTTCTCTGCTGCTTATTTGCAGTTTTTACTTCTTCTGTGGTATTTTTCAGTGACCCTCACATCTCGGAGGAGTCGCCGCCGGCGCTCGCCTCCAACCACTCGCTCTGTCTCTCTGAGGGTCCGCTCAGGCCCAGCCTCTCGCTGCCGCTACACTCGCTCTCTCTTCTTGCCTGCAGTCCAGTCATGTAAGCTGCTGTCGTCCAATCAGAACTCAGGAGATGCTGACGATGGATCACTGATTAGTTTTAGGGTCGTCAGGTTGTTCATAACTAACACAGTTATAAACGGTGTTGGATTAAATTCCTGGAGTGACTGAAGTTGGAGGACATTTTAGGAAAATGCCCGTCGTGTGACCATGTCCCATCTGAACCATGGATGTTCAGATGTTTATGAATGGTCGAGATACTGATTAAAACTTCAGATGTCGGTGAACAGTTCAGAATGTTCAGATGTCGGTGAACAGTTCAGAATGTTCAGATGTCGGTGAACAGTTCAGAATGTTCAGATGTCGGTGAACAGTTCAGAATGTTCAGATGTCGGTGAACAGTTCAGAATGTTCAGATGTCGGCGAACAGTTCAGAATGTTCAGATGTCGGCGAACAGTTCAGAATGTTCAGATGTCGGCGAACTGTTCAGAATGTTCAGATGTCGGCGAACAGTTCAGAATGTTCAGATGTCGGCGAACAGTTCAGAATGTTCAGATGTCGGTGAACAGTTCAGAATGTTCAGATGTCGGTGAACAGTTCAGAATGTTCAGATGTTGGTGAACAGTTCAGAATATCCATATGAACAGTTCATGTCAGTTTCAGGTCAGATGTTGGCTCCTGGTTCTCTAAACTGACTCGGCTTCTCTCTGTGTGTCAGTCAGGATTCCCCCTCCTCCTCCCTATCCTCCCCCTCATGCCCCTCCAGAGCCCAGCGCTTCTTCGTCCTCCTCTTCCTCTTCTCCCTTCCCCCTGCTCTCTCGCTCTTCCTCTGCCTCCTCTCGGCTCTGCTTACCTGCTCGTCTTGAACACCTGGGTAAGGAACCAGTAGTGGTACTGCTGTAGATGTAGCACAACTAACTATAGAAGAGCATTGTGTAGCAGTGCTACTCATCTCTAAGTGTGTAGTACAAATGTAGTAAAACAGATATGTAACACAGAGCCGCTCTGTTCATGGCTCCTGTACTCTCGTAGATCTTCAGATCTTAGCCCCGCCCCCTCCTCTTCCATTGGATGATATTGGAGAATTTGATGACATCACGCCGCCCCTTCCTCCTCCAGTGGACTATGACATCAACGCTCCCCCAGACTACCTGGAGAAAGGTGCCACCAGCCGCCCCACCATGGCGCTGCACTGTTACAGTGAGATGTTACTGATCATGCACTTCCTCTTTTTGTCCTAGTGGTGGCGCTGTATACTTACGAGGCCTCCAAGCCTGACGACCTCCCTCTAACTGAGGGGGACATCATCTACGTGATGCGTCGCCATGACGACGGCTGGTATGAGGGCGTCTGTAATGGCCGGGAGGGCTTCTTCCCGAACAACTACGTCCAGACATGTGACTAGATGAAGCCACGCCCCTTTTCTGTTGCTATGGAGTTGCTTATTTTTCTGTTTTACTCATCAAACAAGTTATAGAGAAACATTATTATTCCAGCTGTTAGTAGGTCATTAATATTTGTCTGAGTGTAAATAACGGAAATAAAAGTGTTTTACCTGAAAAGCTCCCAGGTGGTTCTGTCTGTTTTGTGTTCTGACCATCAGAGGGCGCTGTTTCCTCTCTTTTCTGACTGCAAAACTATTACCGTCAAATTAAAAAAAAATTTCAAAGCCATGAGAAATATGGTCCCAATTCAGGATATATATTTTTTAAATCACTAAAATGAAATAACATATAAATTTCTTAATCATTGATTTATAATTTTTTATTGTAAAATCTAATCTGTTTTTTTTTTATTTTTTAAATGAAGTATTAGGGCCAAGTTTAGAAAAAAAGTAATTAAGAGAATAAAGTCATAATATAAACAGAATAAAATTATTAAATATTACATATTGCAAGAAAAAAGTTATATGACAATAAATCCATAATATTATGAGAATTAAGTCATATGAGAGTAAGTCATAATAATACAAGTATAAAGTCATAATTATCAAAACAGTTAATAATAACACAATAATTATGATTTGTATGACAAGACTTTGTCATACAAAAAACATAAAAAAAATTATAATAAAAAATTTGCATGACAAAAAGTCTTATAAATATGAGAATAAAATCATAATAATACATGAATGAAGTCAAAAATTAAGAAAAATGTACTGATATTGACAAAATGACAGAATATTTGTAGAATGAAGTAATAATTTTATAATCATACACAAATTAAAATGAGAAATATTGAGCATATTGTGAAGCTGTACTTCACAATAAAGTATATCTGTATAAATTTTACAGATATATTCAAAGTTTTAACAACTTTTTGAACTTTTTCTGGTATTTTTATCTTTATTTTGCTAATATTTCAATTTCATTCTAACTTATTTGTAATTAAAAAATAAATCTCAGTCTGGTCTTAAGCCATTATAATCATAATACATTAAAAATAATTTCTTAAACTGTGATTTTACATGCTTATGTTTCTGCATGGCTACCAGTCAAATTTATGAAGCTGCTTTGCTCCTGAAAAGCAGAAAAGTTTCTGTTAAGACTTTAGGAATCCTACTGCAAAAAAAAAAACAAAACCAGAAGGCATGAGGCAACATTTATGCTAAACAAATGTAAAAATTGTTGAATAATGAATAAAAGTAAGAAAAAACATTGTAAAAGTTGATGTTTCTGTTGGTTTGCATTGGGATTCCCCGCAGAGAAGCTCAAGCTGTCAGGGGTTAAAACTGTGACGTTTGATTGGCCAACAGACGTGTTGGCCATGTTTAATGAGGAGAAACGTTCAGTCCCTTCATGCCAGCAGATGTTTCACTCTGAGTGGTTCTTGTTTTTGATTTTCTACCACAAAAATCTCAGATTTATTCCTGAGAGGTGACTCAATCTGTTCCACTGAATTCCATATAAATTCTAGTGAGTTGCATAAACCGATACTTTTCATTTCATTACTCTCAAGGGAGTTTCAACTTTTTTTACTTTTTTTGTTTTGCTTGTTCAGGTTTCCTATGTTGGTTTCCTTCCTGCAGCTGCTGGAGCCTTGCAACGCGACAATTTCACTTCCTTTAACTGAGCAAAGTGAGTCAGGGCGATCAGAGGGAGCTGGTTTTCATGTCATCATGGATTCTGGCTCGGTTCTGGAGTTTTAAGAGGCTCAAAACACAGAAATCCGTGAGAAGGAACAAGTCCTTCTGCTTTTTTCGCAGTAAAAGTTTGCTTCACGTCTGTTTTCTGTTTCTCAGGTTCATAGCCAAATTAAAGCCATAAAAAGATTGTTAATCCACCAAATCCCAGATTCAAACATGTTGGTTTCATGGCTCTCTTCAGGTTTCTGTGGCTTCATTCAATCTGTGGAAAAATATGACCAACTAGAAAATGAAAGGAACCTCACCTAGAAAGTGACATGAAAACCAAAAGCTTGAAACCAGTCAGGCAACCAAGTCTTTGTTCGAGAACGCAGCGAACAGGAGCATCACGGTTTAAAACCAAAGGTCAGTCTGTGAAGGCTGGAGTCAGGGGATCTCCAAAACCACAGCCTTGTGGGTGTTTCCACAGTGACCAAGGTCCACTGACTCACACGATGGTTCTGACCGAAGTAAGCAACTCTGAAAACACCAACACAGGATTTATCATTGTCAGAGCAGAACCAAGGAACAGGAGCAATGTTCAGATGTTCATTAACATTCCAGACTGTGCAGACATTCACGAACAGTTCAGATGTTCATTAACAGTTCAGATGTTCATTAACAGTTCAGATGTTCATTAACAGTTCAAGATGTTCATTAACAGTTCAGATGTTGACGAACAGTTCAGATGTTGATGAACAGTTCAAGATGTTCATTAACAGTTCAAGATGTTGACGAACAGTTCAGATGTTGACGAACAGTTCAGATGTTGATGAACAGTTCAGATGTTGATGAACAGTTCAGATGTTGAACAGTTCAGATGTTGATGAACAGTTCAGATGTTCACGAACAGTTCAGATGTTGATGAACAGTTCAGATGTTGATGAACAGTTCAGATGTTGAACAGTTCAGATGTTGATGAACAGTTCAGATGTTCACGAACAGTTCAGATGTTGATGAACAGTTCAGATGTTGATGAACAGTTCAGATATTCACGAACAGTTCAGATGTTAATTAACAGTTCAGATGTTGACGAACAGTTCAGATGTTGATGAACAGTTCAGATGTTCACGAACAGTTCAGATGTTGATGAACAGTTCAGATGTTGATGAACAGTTCAGATGTTCACGAACAGTTCAGATGTTGATGAACAGTTCAGATGTTGAACAGTTCAGATGTTCATTAACAGTTCAGATGTTCATTAACAGTTCAAGATGTTCATTAACAGTTCAGATGTTGATGAACAGTTCAAGATGTTCATTAACAGTTCAAGATGTTGACGAACAGTTCAGATGTTGACGAACAGTTCAGATGTTGATGAACAGTTCAGATGTTGATGAACAGTTCAGATGTTGAACAGTTCAGATGTTGATGAACAGTTCAGATGTTCACGAACAGTTCAGATGTTGATGAACAGTTCAGATGTTGATGAACAGTTCAGATATTCACGAACAGTTCAGATGTTAATTAACAGTTCAGATGTTGACGAACAGTTCAGATGTTGATGAACAGTTCAGATGTTCACGAACAGTTCAGATGTTGATGAACAGTTCAGATGTTGATGAACAGTTCAGATGTTCACGAACAGTTCAGATGTTGATGAACAGTTCAGATGTTGAACAGTTCAGATGTTGATGAACAGTTCAGATGTTCACGAACAGTTCAGATGTTGATGAACAGTTCAGATGTTGATGAACAGTTCAGATGTTGATGAACAGTTCAGATGTTGACGAACAGTTCAGATGTTGACGAACAGTTCAGATGTAGATGAACAGTTCAGATGTTGATGAACAGTTCAAGATGTTCATTAACAGTTCAAGATGTTGACGAACAGTTCAGATGTAGATGAACAGTTCAGAATGCGTTGGGGAATGAAATAACCAAAACAGATCATCACACCTAACATACCGTGAGGATAACATCCTCCTGGCATGCAGGTGTCTTTGGGGAGGCAGTTAAGGGGTTAAAGTCTGGCCTGTTTGCCTCAGTTGATTCTGTCTCTGTGTCTCTTTAAGGCTGAAATGTTCTGAGGAAACCGCGCCTTTTCCCCCCCTCACCCGACCAGAATCTGGACCCAGTTCTCAGACACAGAGGTCCGCAGAAAGCTGTTGTTCCTCAGGAGCTCCAAACAAGTGAGTCACTTTTGTTTGAATGATTCTCCTTGGTTCTGGTTGGTGTTTCCAGGTCTGAGCCAGAATTCATCCAAGAAGTTCAGTTATGTACAGAGTTCTTGAAGAATAGACCCAGAACCTCAGATCCAAAACGCCCGTGGTCTCCAGGTGCTGGAACACCTTCTGTGTTGCATGATTTGTTGCTTTTTGAGCTGCAGAACTCAACATGTGGGATTTTCTCAGGAGGCTGATTGTGTAACTGTGAAAGACTGAGAAGCGTGATTTGATGGCGGAAACAGGATGTTGCTGTCAGACTCTGAAAAAATGCTGCAACGTTTCTGAACTGACAAAAATTGATTCTTTGCTGAAATAAATCTAACATAACAGTAACTGATCAACTAATTAGTTTTAATTTATTAAAGTAAAAATATACTCCTTTATTGGTTAGTTTTTAGCATTTACTTTGGATGGACATGTGCATTTCCTTTAACTTCAGCATTTCCGTGTTTGTTTCCCTGAACAGGTTCTAGAAATGTCCATCCCGACTCACCGCCAGTGCAAAGTGGAGATTCAGAACAAGACGTCCAGCTTCACACTGTGTGAGCCGCTGTGAGTTTAAAAAAATAAAACACTCACACGCACGCACGCACGCACGCACGAACACACAGACACACTCATATATATACAGAACCAGAAAACTAAATCTTACCAAGTATATCTGCCTGGTTTCAATGCAAATATCTTAATACACTTGAAATAAAACAAAATCAACTTATCTTCTGCAGAGAAGATGAAAGCAGAGTGTTGGTCTGTTTTGTTTATGTGCGACTGTCGCCAGTCTCAGATGTAAAGGCTATATTAGCATGTTAGTAGATGAAAGAGCGACGGACACAGAGTCATATTTCCATAATTAGTTTTTCTGATTGATAGACTGATTCTGTGTTAAACGGTTTGGACAGAAATGGCTTAAAACTCGAATTCAGGTCAGTTAAATTCTATAAAAGGAAATGTAGCAGCTGGTAGAACTGTTTTCTGTTAGACGTTAACTGCTTGTTTAGTAATTGGTCACTGCAATTGTAACTTTGTAGCTGAAATAAACTTGTAAACTAAAACTTGATGCAGAGGTGGAATGAAACTCTGAGTGTCGGAATCAGTTGTTATTGATCTCTTTCTGTCTGTGTTCAGTGTTCATCTCTTCAGTGGGAACTGTGAGTCTCCTCTGCCTCCAACTCTCCGTCCGTCTGAATCCGGCACCGCGCTCTTCATCAAGACGCCCCACACGGCCTGCGGCTCGGTGGCCGTCTTCACCTACGACATCCTGCAGGAGTCGACCAAGCAGAACCGCGGCCGCCTGGCCGTCATGTTCTCCGTTCCCTACGACTTCAACATCTACTCCAACTGGTACGCCGTGGGAGCCTTCAGCAAGGACAAACTCTGCGATGAGGAGCTCTACAAGGAGATGTACTACGCCTCGCAGCGCGGGTTTGTCCGAGGGAAAGCCAAAGGGTCCAGTCTGACCCACAGAGCGGGACATGTGACCATCAGGGCCAGCATGTCCGACAGCTATCAGCCCGTCCTGAAGGTGGAGCTCTGTGACAACTGAGACCGGCTGCTTCCTCCTGCCCGGTTTATCCAGTTTATCAGTTAGCATAACCATCATCATCTGTGTCGATTGCCACTTCTGTACTTTGGTTGGTCCTACTTTGTGAAGTGGAAGGTTACACCCTGCTTGTTTCCTGTCTCTGATGAACTTATAAAATAATTAGGTTCTTATGCAAATATGCTATGAGGCTCCATGCAAACAATGTTGTTGTGTATGATACACCAGGTCAAATAAAATAATGTTCAAGCAGATAACTGGAAGTAGCACATGGCAACCCGTCTTCTTTTTCTTCTTCTTCTTTTACTTATTCTTTTTCTTGGCAGGTTCAGCTCACCTCTACTTGTGCACAGCAAGAGCGTCACCAACAGCAAATTATTATATTTCCTTTACAACCAAACAGCCTCCAACACACTGGAGCATCATTAGATCAAAAGTGTCTGACAATCTTAAATCTAGAGGTTCCATTATTTCTTTATCTAGAACACCACAAATGTTGCCCAGTTGTCCAGTATTATATGCTTCCAGTCTTCCCAGTTGAAAAAAGTAACATTGGTCTGAGTTTGACCCAGTGTCGCTGGGTCAACCCTGATATTTTCTGTTCAGTAATCAGTCGACTGTAAAATGTGAAAATTCAAGATTTCTGAACTGGAGAAAAAGACTTTTAGTTCCTTTGGATCCTTAAAACAGTAAAGAATCTCCAACTGATCCAGCAGCCAAGAAAAAACATTCCTAAAAACTCAAAACTGATGAAAATAAGGGACAGTTTTACACTTGTGAGGCCGTCTCACTCTGTCTCACTCTGTCTCACTCTCCTCACTCTGTCTCACTGTCTCACTATGTCTCACTCTGTCTCACTATGTCTCACTCTGGTCCCAGACTGCACCTGTCAGACACTTTCACTTTGTTCCACTTTTTATGCTTTTTCACTCTTTTAAATCTGTGACTCCGTCTCATTTTTTACCTTCACTCTTTTACATATTTTCACTTTGTTGAACCTGTGAAAATACTCTGTCTCTCTCTACTACACTTGCTGTTTTAGTTTTACTTTGTTTCATTAGGAACATTGTCACATTTGTTAGACAGTCTCCCTTTGTTCTGTTTTTACAGTGCAGCTCTCTGTAATAGTCTCATTTGTCACACCTGTTACACTTTATCACTGTTTTCCATTGTCTTGCTGTGATATTTCTGTTACACCCTCACATTATATAACATTCTCACTCTGCTATAGGTGACAGCTTCAGGACTCAACCAACATATGATTAAAATGTAGAATAATCCCTTTAAATTTTAGGTTTTCTTGAGATCTGTTTAGTTTTTTCCATGATTTTTTGTTCTGTGGAGTTAAAATAATAAATTTGAGACCTTGGTGAGGATATGTTATGTTTTCAGTCAAAGGAAAACAAATTTGAATATGAGGTTATTTCACTTCAGTCTCATATTTGACATGATTTAATCTCAATAAGCTCAATAATTTACTAAACTAATTTTCATATCTCATTTGCTTAAAAAAAAACAAAAAACCATTCAACAAATAAGATGTTCCATAATTTATTTTCATATAAAAATAACAAAATAATAAATATATAAATAAATAACAGCTTATTTACAAATAAGTATCACAAATAAAATAAATAGAAAACACTAGAAGAGGCGTATTGAGTTGGTTTCAGTGGTAGAAATATTAAATCGCTCAATGCTGCCCCCTGGTGGCTTTAATCCGGTTCCCCAGCAGGTCCAGTCGAATCAGGTTCTCTTTGATCGACCTCATGAGCATCTCCCAGCCGTCTCTGCCGCCCTGCAGGAGCAGAACCGGGTCAGTACACCTGTCACTACTTCAGCTGAAATGTCAGACACTAAAAAAAATATTCCCACTTGTTGAATTTTGTCCCATTTCCTTCTGTCACACAACCACAAATTCCAGTGGATTTTGGGGGATTTTGTGTAACAGACTGACACAATTAGTTCATCGTTGTCAAGTGGAAGGTTTTTTATTTTGTAATTATTATTTTTTATGATGGTTAGAAATCTGAAAAGTGTGGCATGCATATGCGTTTGCCTGACGTTGCTGTGAGGTTTATTTTTTCCAGGTTTTAACATCTGCAGGCTGACTTTTTTCATCGTCAGTGATCATAAATTTTGTACTGCAGTGATCTTCAGTTGGATTCAGGTCTGGACTTTGACCAGCCCATCCTAAAATGAATCTGATTTGAACTAAACTAAGGTATAATACCTGTGGTTGGATGTTAGGGTGTTTGTCCTGCTGCAAGCTAAACCTCCAACAGGTTCAAATCCCCACAGCATGATGCTGCCACCACCATGTGTTAGTAGCTAACAGTTCTGTGCATAGCTTTACTACAGGCTGCTTTTCTGATGAGCATTATTCACTTATTCTAAGTCACTGGCGTCTTAACTTTTCATCCTGGGGCCTAAAAATTTGCAAACTGTCAAAATTTGTTTGCGATTTAATTTTTTTTACTTTGCTTAAATGTAATCATACATTTTATGGAATCTGTGTATCAAATGTAAAGAATGGCTTATTAAAAATAAAACAGACTATCTCAAAATTATTTGGGTCATTGATTGTTTTCCATTATTATGATCAGGCCAGGGCCAAAAAATAATAATAACTTCAAGGGCCACAAATGGCCCCCAGGCCACACTTTGGACCCCTCTGGTATAAACGTGCATGTGTTGGAGGGTCAAAATCGGCCAAAGTCTCTTCAGATTTTTGTTTTTAAACATTTTAAACTAGGAGTTTTTCTGTCTTGTGTAATCTCACTGAAATAGAGTTTAGTGGCTGTAATGTGAGAAAATGTGGGAAAGTTCAGCAGGTTTGAACATCTGAACTTCAGAGGTGAAGTATTTGTACTTCAGAGGTGGAGTATTTGTACTTCAGAGGTGAAGTATTTGTACTTCAGAGGTGGAGTATTTGTACTTCAGAGGTGAAGTATTTGTACTTCAGAGGTGAAGTATTTGTACTTCAGAGGTGGAGTATTTGTACTCACAGGGTGGAGCAGAGTGTGGTTCTTCAGGTATCGGTAGTAACGTTTCAGTCGGTTCTCGAAACGCTTGTAATGATTGCTTGTTGTCTCGTTGTGTGTTGCCTTCACCTGGAAACACAAGAGCAGGTTAAGTTTGACATGAAGCTCAACTATCAACACTGAAACACAACACAGCTGATCCAACTTAAAAAAAGGAATTAATTTGTATCAAGTAACCAAAGTGATTTAATCCAATTTAAGAAAAACGTAAATAAATGAAGTTGGACAAACATAAGTTAACTAGGGCTGTGACAACATATTTTGACCTAAAAGCAGAAATGAAGCCAGTCGCCTCATCACACAAGTTCAATAGGAAATGAATGGAGAGGGACGTTTCCCAAATGGCTGCCTTTAAATATAAAAACATGGAGAAACTGAATCTTCAGACATGTTTGGTTTGATATGGGCAGTTTTCCAGGGCGACGTCAGAAAGGGGCGGACAATGAAACATCATCTGTCAGCAGTAACTAGCTTGCTGCGCCTTGTATGCATGTGCGGTGGAGTAAGTTTACATTTTTCTAAGTTTTTGGAAGTTGGACCTCCATTCTGATTTTTCAGTGTAATTTCCTGTTAGCGCTGCGGCGCTGTTCCGGCTGCAGAGCACTCACACACTCATTGAGCTCCACGATCTGCCTGTCGATGCTCTCCAGCAAGTCGGTCGTCTTCACGGCGTCCCAGCCGGTCGCCGACGTGTCGCCATGGCGACACAGATTGTAAATCTGCTCCATGTTGTCTCTGATGAAGCGCAGCTGGGAGTTCTCCTGGAAACACAAAGACAGGTGTGAGCTGCAGCTCTCTGATTGGCTGACAGAACTGATTACGTTGACTGATCGATTGGTTACCTCTCTGCTCTTAATCTTCTCGTACAGTCTGTCTGGGAGTCGCAGAAGAGTCGGGGTGTGTCTCGAATTTCCCTGAAAAACAATGAAACAACTTTCAATTTCTCAGCGTCACTTTAGAAACCACAGCTGCTTAACTGGTTTAACTGGAAACTGAACGTCAAGCGCTGATACTGACTTCCTCCACAAGGAGTCTCTTTAAGACGAGGGTTTTCAAAGTAAGGTTTAAGGGCCTTTTGTGGCCCCTGGATTTTTTTTTTCCAATCATAATTCAGGCATAAATCAAATAAATTAACACAGAACTAGAACTTTTAAATTAGAAGCTACTTGCCACACAAAGTGATCAACTTTTCTACACAAAATCTGCTTTAAATTGCAAATTTTCTAATTAACAGGGATCTATACTGTTTTTATAAATAAGATAAGATCAAATATTTTTTCAGTTTTCTTCAATGGAGCCCAGAATAATAGACAAACTGAAAAAACAAAACAAAACAAAAAAAAACATTTGAAGTTTTCCAATAAAAAAAAGTTTAACTAAAATAGTTCCTGCTTACTTTATCATAGAGTAGGTAAAAAAAACTATTTTAGTAAACTTGAAATAAGATTAAATTAACTTGCACGTAACTTATCAGCAAAAGGAGCTTTTGCTTATCAGCAAAAAGGATAAGCCTCTGATCAATAACCGATAATCGGGTGTGATTGGACTCTTTGTGTCAGTTAGGGCTCCTGATCCAGGATCAGACAATGACTTAAAACTTAATTGTTTTAAGTCAACAATTCCTTAACAAATGTGTAAATACAGAATTTAGATTTAATAAACTTTGTTTTCTTCCTTTTCAAACTGGATACATAAGTTTTGTTTATTGAGATAATTTTTAAAATTTGGTTTTTCTTCTTATTTTTTCTCTGACATGTTACTTGTTTGATAGAAATAAAGGTTTAATTTTTGTTTACTCACCAGGTCCCCGACCAGAAACAGCGTCATGTTCCTCAGGTTGTTGTGGTGGTAGAGCCAATCACAGCAGAGTGCAGAGGTCAGGAGGCTCCAGAGGATGAGGATGGCTGCAGAACTCCTGAAGGCGATGAGGTCCATGATGCACAGGATGAGTTGAGTCGTTGAGCTGACATTGTGCTGGTCTGACTGAAGACGGGCATTTTATTCCTGGAGACAGAAAAATGAAATGAAGAGGAAAAGTCCCACTTTCCTTTTCATGCCAGCGCCCTCTGCTGGCAGCTGAATAAACTGCGCGATAAACGGTTCAAACTTGATTTCTTTTCTGATCGGATCTGATCAGATCCCAGCTGGATGATCCCCAGGGGTCGCTGCCTCTGATCAATAACCGATAATCGGGTGTGATTGGACTCTTTGTGTGAGTTAGGGCTCCTGATCCAGGATCAGCCGGCGGGTCCGGAACCGCGCGGGAACTTCCTCTTTGCCATCCAGTTTCCAAACCTCACCGCAAGTGAAAACAGTGATGGCGGCCTCCCAGTTTGTAAACAAAGTCACAAAAACAAAAACAAACAAACGAAAAACACGAAACATTTGAAAGACCAACAAGCAAACTGAAGGCGGTGAAGACGGGATTGTTCTGATCTGGACTTTGGGACTGATCCGAACCTTCAGCGTTTTATTTCAAAGTGAAAGGCTTTTATTTTGAAGGGCCCTGCCAGTGAACGTGGTTACTTCACTATTTTCGGTTCGACAACTTTCAGTTTCTGATTGTAAAAGTAAAAGTGACGCAATGACGTGACTGCAAACCTGGAGCAGCTGCAAACAATGACGCAATGATGAGAATATCTTTAATAAAATAGGAGAAGAAACATTTTTCATTTCTACAAAAAAACTTTTTATCATATGATCACCGAGAATATTTCATTCAAGATTTGAGTTCATCCGTTAATTAACTGTTTGTGATCATAAATGTTTTAATCAGATCCTTTAAGTTAATTTGCTGTAGAGTGTTGAAATAGAATTTTAAATTAGCACAATCGTACACAAGCTAACCTTTATGTTAAGACAGACTTAAAGATCCAGGTTGGGGCAGCTGATGATTCTCTGAAACATAAATTTCTAATCAGAAAGCAGTCTTATACTGCTTAAGGAGGGTTTCCAGACAGGGAGTCTGTCTGCCAGGCAATTAAATTCCTTTAGTGTGGTTCAAAAGTTCACTAGAACATCAAAACTTTTTAAAAATAATTTTATCCATATTAGAATTAAATATATATATTCAGAGCATTAAACAGCATGTTTTAAATTAGTTAGTTTTAGATCCAAACTTATAGTTAGTTTTTATCAGTAGATTTTGTTTCAGTAAAACACAAACACGTTCAATCACTGAGGCAGAAAACCAAAACAGGCAGAGGTCGTAAATTTTCGCCGAGGGATGGTTTGCAGGAGACGTCTGGTACGGCAAAGATCAGTGAGAAACAACATGCAAGACCAAACGTCAGAACACTGATGGGACATTTCCTTTTATTTACAACTGATTCCTGTTATAAACACACTGACACAGAAATCTGGTGTCAGATGACAACTGAGTTTGGATCTAAAAATTGCAGGATTATCTACTTTTAGGAAAAAATCTTTTAGAATACCTGAAATATTTTACTTAGGAAACTAAGTAATTAAGATTAGGAAGCTTTTAGTTTCCTACTCCTTTTCTATTTTAGTAATCTAAGATGCAAGCAAATTAGTACGGTTAGACACTAACTAGTTCAGAACATGCTGTTAATACCTAAAAGAAATATCTTAATACATTTGATTATACTTCTAGAAGAATTGTTTTCTAAAGGTTTCAGTGTTTTACTGAACTCCTAAACAAAGAATTTGACTCATCTTGTGAACAGGCAGACCCCCTCTGACCTCTGACCTATCTGCTGGTACAACACACCCCCTTTCTGAAGGCCCTCTTTAATAATTTATGCAAGTTCAGAAAGTCAGAAGTTGTTTTAGTTTGAATCTTTATCCAAATCTACCGAACTTAAAACCTACTCAGAATATTCATGCTACATCTAATATTTCATATGCACAAAGATTAACCGTTTCTAAAATTAATATAATCAAACTTATACTCCCAACAAAACCTAAAGACAAGAAAAGTAGAGTAACTTCAGAAAAGACTAACTAAGCATAAAACTCGGCTCGATGTGAGTTTTTGTCAGGTGAGCGACTCGTCAGTCTGCGCATGCGTAGCAGTCTTTTGCTTTCCCATAACTGTACTGATCATACTAAAGAAAAAGACATAAACTTCATATATTTCGCAAAGAGATATTAACATTCATGGAAAAAACCTCACATAACCCTATATTAAAGCAGAAAGAAAGGCTCAGTATTCAATTACTAACTGATCAGTGCAGTATTGCGAGGTAAGCAATAGAAACAAAACTCCCCAGGTCCCTTCGGGGGCTCCGTACTACTGGACCTCTGGTTCTTTTAAAAAATGTCTTGAATGAGACGCTGACTTCCGGTGCAATGAGCTAACCTGACCAGCAGGCGGAGACAAACGCCACACATTCACGTTTCTATTTTGTTCTTTTCTTCGCTTATTTATGTTAGGGTTAGGGTTAGGATAAAAAGTCATGAGACTTTGTACTATGTAATGTACTATGGTGTCCATCTTTCTGTGCTAACCAGAAAAATAGCTAGCACAAGGTATTAAATATATGGCACATACAAATACGCACACAGTCGTGTCTCTATCTTTGTTGGGACCTTCCATTGACTTACATTAATTTCTGCAGGCTATGACCTCTGCTCTTCTTTTCTTTTCATTCTTTTCATTCATTTGCTTGTCAAAGTACTCCATCCTTCTTCCCATTCACTCTCTTCACTTGTTAGAACGTTACCATTTCTATGTTTAACAAATCTAACTATCTGCACACCCTTTCCAGACTGATTCTTCTGTCTTGTCAATCGATACAAGTCCTTCTTTCTGTCCCTGGTGTCCAGTCACCCTTCCCTAAAACCTGCAACTCCACACGCAGGACAGCAGATGTTGTGCTTTTCTTTTGATCCCTTGGGGCTGATGCTTGACTAGAGGTGTTGAGATGGCTGGGAGGATGTGGAGGGATAACAACCATCAAAAACTAAATATGATTGACATTTTCTGCTGAATGTAGAACCAGACTAAACATTTAAAGAGACAGCAGGTGAAGTTGTATACAGGGTTTGTAAAGACAAATGTCACAGAGGTGGAAAACCAAGTCTGACAGCTTTCACAAAGAACTAACAGCATTCTCAATTAGAATATATCAGAAAAGCCCCACATTGGGTGCCAATTTGTTGAATTTTAATTGATGGGAAAAGTGAAACCATCACACAGGATTAGGAATCTTTCCAAATAAACCCAATGAGGAGATTTATGAGTGCCTGTGGTTCAACAATCAGAATAATCTCCTTGATATCCAATGGTTACAACACCTTTCTAGAGGTCATTGTACTGGTGAGTGCTTGTTTATGTTTAACCAATCCAGTCCACAGATGCCTTAACAAAAATATCATAAATTTCTCCTACAAAAGTAGATTCAGACTCTGCGCAATAAAACCATCAAAATTAAATCTCTCTGTTTTCTGTTCAGGGTTTATGTGTTTAAGGGAAACTGTGACTCCCCTCTGCCTCCAACTCTCCGTCCAACAGAATCCGGCAGCGCTCTCTTTGTCAAGAAAGTCTACACAGCGAGTGGCTCATCAGGCGTCTTTACGTACAACATCGTCCACGAGTCCAGCAAGGAGGTCAAAGGCCAATTGGCCGTCATGTTCGCAGTTCCCTATGACTTCAACATCTTCTGCAACTGGTACGCTGTGGGAATCTTCATCAAAGAAAAGACGTGCAGTAACGATCTCTATCAGGAAATGTACTATGGTGTCCAGCACAGCTTCGTTCGAGGAAAAGCTAATGGGCCCAGTTTAACCCACAAGGGGGATGAAGTTACCATCAGGGGCAGCATGTCCGACAGCTTCAAGCCGGTTCTGAAGTTGGAGCTCTGCGACGACTGAGACCGGCTGCTTCGGTCTGTCCAGTTAAACCAGTACCAGCACCATCTGGTTTTATTTAACCAAGCTTAACCACAAAAGGTTGCTTCTTTTATCATATCTTATCCAGTTTGTCCCATTGTAACATGGTTGAATAAATTACTATCAAAAGAAATATAGATGTTATTTTTTCTCTACTTTGGTTTGTATGTTTCACACGCTCACATTCATTAATTCATTTGAAAAAATTTGAAATGTCTTTAAAGCAGACACAATATTGTTAGTGGCAGGTTTTCCTTGGAATCCAGCAGGACTCTGCTTGGAAACTGAGTTCTCTGAATAAAAAAAGACATGAAATTTATCTTTGAGGGGGAATTTTTCTCCCATAATTTGAGAAAACACATTTTAAGCCTGAAAGCAGGATTACATGTCTTTCTTTCTTCTCAAAACTTTTAATACATTTGCTCACATTTTCATTTTGAACTTCAGATGTTCTCAGAAGAGCAATGTTCACAATAGAAGATACAAATTAATTTTTGTACAAATAATAGAGATCATTGAAACAAAAATGTTGATGATCTGCTAATCAAAATAATCTTTATGAATATTTAGTGTTAAACAATATTTACCAATATTATATATATTTCCTTTGAACAATCAGAAAGGCAACCATAGGCTGGAAAAAATGTGAAAGATAAACGTGTGATCTGTGGCGCCCTCTGTTGGTCTGGAAGGGAACTTCAGGTACAAAAATCTGCTGAGCTGAAAGTTTCTTTTTTTCTATCCTGGTTTAAATAAACAATAGTGGAAAAAAAACAATAAAATACTTGAGGAAAAGTCGACAAACTTACAACAGGTATGGATATAATGGTGGAGGGCCAGAAAATGATTTTCTTTTAATAATTCAATCTTTATCTTGTCTGTTTAAATATAAGTAACAGCAGATAAACGCACGCACACACACACACCACACACACACACACACACACACACACACACACACACACACACACACACACACACACATATTCAATATTTTAAATAATTTTAATATTAAATAATATCAGAAGTCATGAGCTTCATTGACTCAAAATGAGTGTGAAATTGTTCTGCTAAAGTGTATAGATGAGCCACAATAATTTTTTGGTCTGTTTCAGCTCATTTTTTAAATTTTTAACTCATTTTTTTAAGTTACAATTTAGTATTTTTCTTCAATAGCTTCGGTGATCTGTGACATATTGGCTCAAAATCACCATGAAATTGTTCTACCAAAGTGTATCGATAAATCACATTCATTTTTATTCCATTTTTAGCCTTTTTTCTATAAATTTATTTTAGCAATTTTTTTGTCAATAATTAAGAAAAAATATAGTTTTAGCATTTTTTTGTCCAAATTTAGAAAATTTTTGACAAAAATTACTAAGAAACATATCTACATATGCAACATCGACATATATATAAAGCACTAAGACCAAAGACACATAGCAACAACATCTCCGCATGACTTCTTCTTTTTGACACAAATGGAACCCCATAATTGGAACCAGGTGGGCTTCAACGAGCGGAACCTGGTTATGACTTCAACAAGAAGTCATAATGACGTCTGGACGTGGACAGGTGAGTCTACCTGGGCTCGTTTGGTTCTGACTTCTTCTTCTCTTTCTTCGGTGTTTATATCAGCTGATTGATACGGAGCCCCCGAGGGGACATGGGGATTTTCTTTTCTTTTGCGTTACCTCGCAAGACAAATGGTGTTGCGAGGTAACGCAAAAGTTTTGCGAGGTGACGCAAAAGAAAAAACTAATTTGCCATGTCCCTTTCGGGGCTCCGTAGATCGTACAGCAGGTCAAAGGGCTGTACGATCTACGTACAGCCCTTTACGTAGATCGTAAACTTTTCTCCACTCATTTTTTTAAAGAGTGGAGAAAAGTTTTAGGATGTTTTCAGGTTCAGTCCACATGTTGTTTCTTTAGCTAAGATGAAGCTACCATCTACTGAGATCTGCACAACTAGTTAAAGTTTCTTTTCTCCCACTCAGTGACCTCGGGCTGATTCCTGAGAGGTCAACTAGAGGTCAGTCGTGCATTGACAGTTTTACTGTTTCTGTTTTCATCTTGAAAAGCTCTCTAAAGCACTTCCTGCTACTGGACTGTTAACATGGTGACGGGGCCCTAGTAGGCCTGCAGTGCACATTCAATTGAGTTTAACATGGAGTTCTGGGTCGGTCATCCTGGTCCATGTTGAGTTTTGGTGCAGAATGTTTTCTGTTTCAGACTTTAACTGTGAGAACATCTGCAGCAGCAAACTGGACTGGATGAGTTCATGTTGAACAAAAGTACTGGAAAATATGTGCTATTTTGGGTCAAAATTTTGTCACATGTTTGTTTTAAACCAAGGAACCAAACAGAACCTGGAAACCCGGATTATAACAGGCAATCTACCATCTGCGGTTCTGATTGCTTCTCAGTTTCTGTTTGTCAAAAAGGCAGAGTTTCATATCTTTGGCTCTCAAACATTTTAATACTTGTATTTGTGTGATATTTTAGTGGTGTATATGTGCAATTTTAGTCTTTTGAGTGTATGAGAAAGAAAATTTGTTTGTGTGTGTGTGACATTTAACAGTATATATGTGCAATTTTAATTTTATTTTGTGTGTGTGTGAGTCTTTAGTAGTGTGTGAGAGAGTTTTTGTCCTAAACGGCCCCTCACATGCAAACCTTTCTCCTCAAGCGAGGTCTGATTGGAACAAATCTTTACTTGCAAATCATTTTCTGTTTGCACTTGGAACAGAAAAGTACCGTCGCCTGGCAACCTCTCAGCCAGTAGAATGCGAGTGTTAAACTGTTAGTGTTTCACTAATCTCTCATTTAACCACTTAAACCTTTTTTATACAGCATTAGAGACACATTTAAATATGCTAATACATAAACAAATTTCTTTTCTAAATAGGTTAATAAACATTTTCTTGCATAAATTGCATGATAAGCTTTAATTTAGAGAACACTTGACCAACTAACAAAGGATGCATCTGCACATTAAAATACTTCTATCACCAACATGTGAAAAGCTCAGCACTTTCTGATGACTTAACATCAGCAGAGCGTAGGGCTGGTCTGTTGATTATTTATAAATGAATCGGATAATAATTGGACAGAAAAATGTGCTTAATTGTAGATCTTGTTTTACAAAATTTGAACCAGTTGAAACTGCCATTTGATAAACATATAAATACAGAATTTGTATATTTTTGTAAAGTTTTAGCTCCATTACTGCTTTGAGTATGTTGTTCTTCTTTCAAGTAGCCTGAATGCTTCATTTAATAATTAATCTATTACTAATTAGTTAATTTGTCACAATTAATTGATTGTTTCAGCCCTAGTAAACATTTATACTAATAAATAAGCAGCAAATAAGGACAACCGATGGACCAGATGGGTATGAAGGTTCTGTTTAAGCCTGTAGAGAATCTTCAGCGACAGAAACATGTGCAACCTTTTGGATTGACGCTGTGCAGTCAAAACCAGCAGCCATGCAGGAATTTTGTTTAATGTGATTTTTTTTTTTTAAAAATACCACAGATTAAGCTAATGTGTATATTTCACAATGTTGGTGCAAAACTGCAGCTCCAACTGCACATTTGAACAAATGTTGCATCTTTTTCTGAGTCTACTGGTCTGTGTGATGTGGAAACATTCTCATGTATCAGCAACCAGGCAGAGTGGCTCCAATTTCCTCCAGAATGATGGCGAGGGCGACTTCTACTACGGCGGCGGCGCCTTCGGAGGCGTTCTTGGCTCATTGGCAACTTTGAAGACGATGCCAAGGAAGGCATTGGGGCTGCCTGGCAGGAGGAGAGCCACTTGAACAGGTAGGCAGGTAAAGTACACAGATGCCAGGCCTGGTTCTACAATCTGGTGATGTCATTTCCTGTCTGTGTGTCCAGGTACATGTGGCTGAACAAGCCCAGTAAGGTTCTGTCTCCTGAGTACCTGTGGCAGGATTTACAAGCCAGAAACTCAGAAATTCACGTCATCAGATTCTCTGGGGTCATAAAGAACTACAACGAAATACGACCCAACTGAGCTGAAGTACTGGACCAACCAGCGTTTAGCTCCGGAGACACTTCCTGTTTGCTCCGATCCAGAATCAATAACTCATCTGAGCATGTGCAATACTTACCGACAGACTGTTCCAGTCTGGTCCGCTGTTTCACTGGTTTAACTCGGAGTCTGTTTGAAGTAACCTGAAAGAACCCAGAGGTCTGTACCTGAATTAAAGCTGCTGCTGGTTCTGATTTTTCTGCTGCTGGTTCTGATTCTTCAGCTGCTGGTTCTGATTCTTCAGCTGCTGGTTCTGATTCTTCAGCTGCTGGTTCTGATTCTTCAGCTGCTGGTTCTGATTCTTCTGCTGCTGGTTCTGATTCTTCTGCTGCTGGTTCTGATTCTTCTGCTGCTGGTTCTGATTCTTCTGCTGCTGGTTTTGATTCTTCTGCTGCTGGTTTTGATTCTTCTGCTGCTGGTTCTGATTCTTCTGCTGCTGGTTCTGATTTTTCTGCTGCTGGTTCTGATTCTTCAGCTGCTGGTTCTGATTCAGCTGCTGGTTCTGATTCTTCTGCTGCTGGTTTTGATTCTTCTGCTGCTGGTTCTGATTCTTCTGCTGCTGGTTCTGATTCTTCTGCTGCTGGTTCTGATTTTTCTGCTGCTGGTTCTGATTCTTCAGCTGCTGGTTCTGATTCTTCAGCTGCTGGTTCTGATTCTTCTGCTGCTGGTTCTGATTCTTCTGCTGCTGGTTCTGATTCTTCTCTTGATGCCAACGTTCTGCAGGCATCCATGATCCATGGTAATACATTCCTGTAAAATTACTTATTTCAAATGAGTAAAGTAAGGGATTACATTTGGAAAAAAGTAATTAGATTACTGATACTTCACCGCAAGCCGACTTGCAATGTTTAATGCTTGGAAGTACAACTTACTGATTTATTTTATTTTATCCTTGTAATTTATGTGAGTAAAACAGTGTAAACATTAAAATAATTTTATTCAAATGGTGGAATAGTGCTGATTACAATTGAACTTTTTTTAAAAATATGGTGAAATAAGAATAAGTTTGAATAAGTTTCAATACTCAACAAAATTCTTCGAATCAGATTGTTGCATTCCTTTTTTCTTTGCTTAAGACATGGAGTTAAGAGCAAAACAAGTTTAGAAAAGAAATTGTTTCATTTAATTAAACTTTATATGATAAATGGAGTTACACTGAAATGTATATTATCCAGCAATTATAAAAAGTACCAAAGTGAAGTAATTACTGTTTGAAATAAGTCATCAGTAAAGTAACTTTATTACTTTCTTGGGGAAGTAGGAAGTTGACGATCTCTGCTCTGGATCCTCCTGCTCCGTCTTGGAGCCACAAATCCAAAAACCTTCAGCGCTTCAATTTTTGGATCTTTGTAGTTCGTCTCGTACCCAGAGGTTCTGTGTGAGGCGGTTGCCTCCACCAGGGGGAGCCGTTTCAAAACTTTACTAATAAATACTACCTACCAGCAGAATGTCTAATACTGTATTTGATATATCTAATAAAGTTCTTGGACTTTTTTGTGTGACTTTATGTCAGTTTGGTGATTCAAACTGATTTATATGAACTTGTTCTAAAAACTGCTGCTCTAGTCTGGAAGGATCCTCACCTTCACAAATCAGACACAACAGAAGTTTAATGGGAGAAAAGCGTTTTGGAGGAAGTATGTTGGAGCAAGCTCTGTTAGTTCTGATTTCTTCTTCTAGACTTTTGTTCAGTTTTTATTTATTTTTGGTTGATTTATTGCATAATGAGACAATTATTCCCTCTGCTTTTCAGCTTCTCTGCAGCTGGAAAGACATTCGCTCTTACGCTTCCAGGAGTAGCTGATTAGCAAATGATATCTGAACTACGAATCCCAGAGAACTTGAAACAGAGTCTTTATTGATGCAAAGCAGGACCAAAGAGCAGAGAGAGGAAGAGGAACTTCGTAGCACGGATCGTATCCCCGACTCCAACATCTTTCCATCCGGCCGTCTGACTATACGACCTGGAGCGGCAAAATCAAATAAACTGGATTAGCAGTTGATGATGTCATCGCGTGATGCTGAGGAATATCATTTCTGCTGCTCAGATGTTGAGCTGTTGGCATGATACGACACCATCATTAAGCAAACTTCAGATTTGTGTGAGATCCGTCAGTAAGACATTAAATTTCGCTTTGGGATCAATAAAGTCATTTTGGAATGAATTGGGTTGGATTCTCTGCAGGATCAACAACGTTCTGCTCCGTGTTTGTGAGGAAACATCCGGTTGTTTTTTTCTCCTGGAATCGCAGGAAGAGTTTTGTTACTGATCCTGATCTGTTTGCTTTTGACATCAGATGAGTTTTCTGCTGGGTCCTCGTTATCATCTGACCTCTCTGTCATCACACAGCAATCAGGGTCTTCCTGCTCAGCCCTCCATCTTTCTCTATCTACACAGAAACTTCCTTCTGAAACACAAGGTCCCACACTGACTGACTCACATTGTTGGAGGAACTGTAATGTTCCCCACCCTGGATTCACTCTGATTCTTGTTGTTTTAGTTGCACACGAGTGCATGTCAACAATAAGGGCAGGAAGGAATGTTTTTCAGTCAGATTAAGGAGATAAAGTTATTGAGAGCTCAGATCTGCATGTAGAAACACACAGAGATTAAAATGTAACACAGGGAGCAGCAACAAGGGCCCTCATGTTTGTGGTTAACAGCCTGTAAATTCAGCAGATTTTATCATAGAAAACGTCTAAACAGCCTCAACCTTCACCTAACAACCCCGGCTCACCCCGTTACCTCTACCTGAAACCGGCCAATTTCTCGCTTCTGCTCAGGTTTCTGTTCACCAAAACCCACATCCCTCTGGTGTTCACCAGGGCTCAGTTCTGGGCCCTTCTGTTCATCATTCATTTCCTTGGTTCCATCTTCAACCAGTTCAACATGTAGTTTCACCGCTATGCAGATGACACCCAGCTCTACCTGCCCTTCACCTCTGTAATGGCTGATAGTTTGTTGGTTTTTAAACAATGCTTTAAATAAAAAGTTTTATTATTACTTTTTATTTGTGATGATACAATACACCCAGGAGCTTAACCAAACCGGGTTTGGTGTCAATCTGCTACCGTAGCCGTAAACTGTAACCATTGAGTGACCTGAGTTGACCTTTGAGTCCCATGAGTCCAGTAACTAAACCCCAATGGGGTGCAAGAGAAAAATGCAGCTCACACACATAATGAAGCTGAAAAACACTGGAATATACTTAAGTGTTGATTTAAGGTAAAAGTTTGGTTTGGATATTTAGACACAGAGTTCATTAATATCAGAGAATATAGAGATTTCCAGGCCTGCAGCCTGATGATAGGAATACATTTAAAAATGTCTGACAGCTGGAATGGATTTGCCGAACAGAAAATGATTGAAGAACTTCACACCACAGCTTGATCCTGGTTCCTCCTGAAGCTATCACTGTTTCGTTCCTTTTCTGCTGTTGTCTGAAGAAACTGAGCTCCAAAGCAGAATTAGTTCTGATTCTGGACATTAGGAATAGGGATGGTTGTACTTATGTCTGTTACCTACAGGTTAGGGTTACCTGTTGGAGTGGAAGTTTCCTCCGATGGGTCAGGTCACATTGGGGTCATCAGGTCAGATTGTTTCAGGGAGCTTTAAACCTCTGAAGGCTCTTTTGTTTTGGATAGTTTCAGTTCTTCAGTGCTTCTCTCAAGGGATTTCAGACCAGTTCATTTCCATTTCAGGTCCTTGATACGTTTGTTTCAAAAGATCATTGAAACTGTTTTAGGAACTTAAAACGCTTGACAAGAGTATTTTATTGAGTTTATATGCTAATAATTATGGGTCAGGATATTGCAGGTCCTTTGTTGCCGTTTTCATTCCAAATGGTTTCAGGATGTTTCAGAACCCAGATGACTGGTTCAGGACGTTTCGCAGTAGATTTTGGTTGTTCAGACCATTGAAGACGGTTTCAGGAAGTTTTATAACCTTCGTGACTATTTTGGAAAGTGGTAGCATCTTGATCTTCCAGCACCTTCAAGGGCTTCTTGGGATATTTCTGACATTGGATCCCTGACGTTTCAGGACCTTGATGACTGTTTCAGGGAGTTTTATTTTCTTGTTCAGTTTTTTTCAGGAAGTTTCTCACCGTCAAAGATCCTTCAGGTGATTCCTGTCTTCCATTCCCGAACATTTAAGGTGGTGTCAGGAAGTTTCACACCCTCAGTGACTTATTCAGGAAATGTTAGACCATTGTTGACTGTCTCAGGAAGAGTTGAGCCCTCGATGACTGGTTCAGGAAGTTTTAGGCCCTCCATAACTTTTTCAGGAAGTTTCACAGCAGATTTTAAAGTGATTTTAGGTCCTTTATAAGTATGTAAGGATATTGAAGACGGTTTTCACAACCTTCATGACTTTTTAGGTTTCTGATGGCTGTTTCAGAAAGTTTTATGCCCTTAAAGTCTTTGGGTTTCAGGTCCTTCATTGCTCTCTTGGGATATTTCTAACCATTGGAAATAGTTTCCCAAAGTTTTAGAACATCAATGACTCATCAGGAAATACTGAACCCTTAATAAAGTTTTAAATTCTTAGATGATGTTTCTTGAAGTTTTATAGGTTTGTTCACTGTTTCCAGAAGTTTCAGACCCTTGACAACTATTTAAGGAAGTGTTAAGCTCTTAAGGGCTGTTTAGGAAGTGCTGGACCCTTGATGACTGTTTCAGGAAGTTTAGCTTCAATTAGCTAGCGTCCGGCTCTTGATAACTTTCTTAGAGGGTTTGTGATCTGGGTTAGTTTGCAACATTTAAGGCTTTTCAGGAAGTCTTTGTTTCCTCGTGGCTGCAGCTCTTTACTGTTCCAGTGAGTTTTTAAACACTTGACTGCTTCAGGAAGTTTCAGGTCTTTTCTGGTTCTGGGTGACGTTGCTCTGTTTCTAAACACTTATCATGTTCTTACATGTTACCTAAACACTCAGACCAGGAACCATTGAACTGTTTTCATGCATCAGCACCTTCAGTTGTGTTCTGGTTTCCACGATGCCATCAGCAGCGAGGCTAAGTAATGAATGCTCTCTGATGCGTTTCCTGCCAGCTCACCTGATGCCTTTCATCCTGAGGCTGGCCAGCTGCCTCCTCTGATTGGGCTTTGTGCAGCATCAGATAACCTGGAAGGTTCATCAGTTCGTCTTTGTGAGGAAACTGATCCAGAGGTACTGATGCAGCTTCGGCTTGCTCAGGTGAAGCACGGAGGAGGGAGAGTGATGATGAGGGGCTGCAGGATAAAACCCTGTTTTCACCAGCAGATCTGCAAAGATACCAAAATTTCCGCTTAACTTTACATTTTGATCCGACTGATTGTATAATTTTTAAAAATCAAACGACTGATAATTTGATCAGTTACTCAGTAGAATTTTTACCAAATACTTTTTAACTCTTACTTGAGTATGTTAAAGTAGTGAAATGTTTTGGCC